GGGTGTGACTGACATAAAGTCATCACCCCAAAATATGGGATCATCAGCTGACATAAAGGCTCTGAAAGAAAGGGCTGTGGTTCTAAGAGCCTACTGGACACCTGATAGGGTTGGGAGAGGTCCAGAAAGGCTCCTTGAAGGAGTTATGGTTGAACCAAAATAGGAAGAATGATTAGAGATTCTCCAAGCAGGAGAAGTGGGCCCGTGGAGCAGAGGGCTTTCCAGCCTAAGGGAACAGCAAGTCAGAAACCTTGCAATAATTATCTATGGCTGCATAACAAAAAGCCCCAAAGTCGAGTGGCTTTTTTAGAACACCACCACCCATGTATTCTCTCTCCTGGTTTCTGTGGGTTGGGAATTCAGGAGCAGCAAACTGAGCAGTTCCAGCTTGAGGCCTCCTATGAGGTTATGGTTGGAACTTGGCCAGGGCTACCAACATCCGAAGGCTTGACTGGGGTGGCAAGAGCCACTTCCAACGTGGCTCACTCACGTGGCTGACAGATTGGTCCGTCTTCCCCTGGGCCTCCCCGCAGGGCTGCTTGAACTTCCTCACAACATGGCAGCTGGCTTTCCCCACAGGAACAAGTGGTGCTGCAATGCCTCTTATGACCCAGCCTTGGAAGTCACACCTTCGCTTCCACCAGATTCTCTTGGCACACAGACTGGCCCTGACTCAGTGTGAAAGAGGACTCCACAAGGGCCTGAATACCAAGAGGCGAGGAACATTGGGGGCCCTCTTGGAGGCCGGCTATCATAGGTCTTAGGCAGGAAGGGGCTGGGAACGTCCAGGATGTGGCTCAGCTGGGGTGATGTGGGCAGGGCTAGGTGCATGGGGGGGGGTGGGTTTACCCTAAGAGCACTGAGAAGCCATTCAGGTGTGTTCAATGGGGTAGGGGAATGGTGACGTAATCAGATTTGAATTCTGAGAAGATCCCTCTGCTTTGTGGAGAACAGCCTGGGAGAGGGCTGAGTGACAGCTCAAGAAGGAGGCTGGGGGGGTGTCCAGGAGAGACTTGAGGGTGACCTGGGCTGGGGCAGTGGCCCTGGAGGGGCAGATCAGCTAACTCACTCAAGGGCTGTTTGAAGGAAAAACCCACCAGGCTTGGCAGCAAGTCTCTTGTGATCCCATACAGAAAGCCATCAGCCTGCTTAAGTGCTCTACAAGGAGCAGGCAGGTCCACCCAGCACACCCCAGAGTTGGTTTCCCCAGATCTGATTCCTGGTCACTTGAGCCCAGAGAGGGAGCTTGCGAAGCCTGCCCTGCTAGTCTTCCTGCCTGGCCCCTGTCTGGGGCGAGAGTGGCAAAGTGTCCCCATCGAACCCTTGAGTGCTGCTGCCGCCATCTGGGGCCTCCTTTGGTCCTGGCACCAAGCGAGAGCTCAGTGGCCGTGACTAATGCCCCAGCATGTGGCGTGACTCAGCTCTGGCTTTCTGACTGACCGTGGCCCAGGACATGTGGCCATCTCTCCACTAGCCCTGGTGCTCGGGGCTGACACCTAGCCTTTCCTGGCCCCTGGAGTGTGGCCCTCCAGCTGGAGGCTGGAATACGGCCTGGAAAGCAGGGAGGTGGGCCTGATAAGTCTCATGTCAGGGGTTCATGAACACTACTTTAGAGACCAACAGGTGGAGGTGGAGTAAATGCACCTGGGAGCTGAACCTGGCTGCTTCTGGAATTTCCAGTCCCTTCTCTCAAGGGATGAGCCCATTTCTAGGTGGAGGTCTCTGGTGGTCCAACCAGTCACTCTGGAGGCTCCCAGAAGCCATCAGCATCCCTCTCCCCATGGCTCTGGCTGACATTTCTAGTGGTCAGGTGAATTGAGTGAAGTGGATGACTCAAGGACTAGAGACAAACGAGGCTTTGCAACCTTCTCTGATTTGGGCCTCAGTTTCCCTGTTTGTGAAATGGAAATCCATTGTTGTGGGGGAGAAAATAGCTTCATACCCACCAACCTTTGCATCTTCACTGTACATCAGGCACCTGCTTGCCGCCTCCTACGTCCTATATATTCAACCAATCTTTGGATTCCTACGGAGTGAGCCCTTGGAGGGCCAGCTGTGAACGAGGCAGACCAGGTCCTTGCCCTCTGGAGCTCGTAGTCTTTGCAGGGGTCAGCATGCTAAGGCCCATAAGCTAAATCCGGCCCACCATCTGTTGTTGTAAATAAAGTTTTATTGGAACATGGCCATACCTATTCGTTGACTGTCTATGGCTGTTTTCATGCTACAATGGCAGCATTGAGGAGTTGCAACAGAGAACGTGTGGCCTACAAAACCTAAAATATTTACTGATCCTTTAGAGAAAAAATGTGCAGACCCCTGCTCTGCTCTAGTGAAATAGACATACTATGATGACAGTAAATAAGAGACTCTCTGACAGTGGTAAACTCTATGAAGGAGCAGGGTAATAGGCCAGAGTAAGAGGTCAGGGGGAAGCCTCTGAGTAGAGGCAACCTTGGAACTGTGTGAATCTCCCAGAAGAGTGGTCTGGGCAGAAGTGAAGCAAAGGCCCTGGGGCACATAAGAGCTTGAAAGACTAAAAGTGAATCAAAGAAGCTGGAGCTCAGTGAGGTGGTGGTGGTGGGGGGATGAGATGCATCCAGGAAGGACCCTGTAAATAGAGTAAAATGCTTAGATTTTATTTGAAGGGCAATGAGAAGTTTTGCAAGGTTTTAGTGGGGAAGAGAAGAGAAGAAGGGTATGTCCCCCCACCCCCCCTTTTTTTAAAGCTCTCTGGATGCTGTAGTCTGGGAGACCAGGGAAGAAGCTACTAGAACAGTCCAGGCAAGTGATGGAGTGATGATGGAATCTCTGAGGAGGCAGCAGAGCGGATAAGCAGAAAGACCCGGGTTGTATTTTAGAGGAGGAGCCAACAGAGATTGCTCACCTCTTGCATGTGAGGGGAGGACAGGAATGAGAGATGGTCTGAAGCAGCACCTTGAGAGCAGATCAGCAACGTTGGCACCAACTGGGGCAAATTTTGATGTCGCTGAGCCCTTGCCCCATCTGTAAAATGGGTCGAATCTTCCCTTGACAAAGGGATCACAAAGAAGATCCGCCTGAGAGGATATGTTGTCACTACATGCAGCTGCTCTTCCGAGAGCTGAGGCCCTGACAAGCAGGTCTGCTTGTCCGTGTCCCCTCTCTCCCCCATCCTGTGAGCACCCCTCTTCCTAAGGCAGCTTAGGGGCCCAGATGCTGGTTTCCGGCAGGTCTACGGGGCCTGAGCCTCACTCTGGCCCGACTCTCTTCTATCTGCCCCCATCCTCAGCCCAGTTTCCTCAATGCTGTCCCTTTGGCCTCCCAGGGGCCTGACAGCTGGCCAACCCTGGGGTTTCTCTTTCGCATTCAGGCTCTGGAGCTCAAGACACCCGGATTCATGGTCCCTGCTGCTTACTGAGTCTATGATCTTGGGTTAGCAGCCTCTGAGGCAGACTCCTTTGTGACAAATATCCCAGGCCATGGGAAATGGGGTCCTGACACCCCCCCCCTTTATGGTTGTTAAGGATGAAATTAAATAACTCTTAAGAGCCTGGTACAGTACATAAGTGCTGATTCCATATTAAATTAATAGCTATTAATTTAATATTTTTGTGAGGAAGATCAGCCCTGAGCTAACATCCATGCCAATCCTCCTCTTTTTGCTGAGGAAGACCGGCCCTGAGCTAATATCTATTGCCAATCCTCCTCCTTTTTTTTCCCCCCAAAGCCCCAGTAGATAGTTGTATGTCATAGCTGCACATCCTTCTAGTTGCTGTATGTGGGACGCGGCCTCAGCATCGCCGGAGAAGCGGTGCGTCGGTGCGCGCCCGCCCGGGATCCGAACCCGGGCCGCCAGTAGCGAAGCGTGCGCACTTAACCGCTAAGCCACGGGCCGGCCCCAATAATTCTATTTTTAATTTTTTGAGGAACCTCCACATTTTTCTATAGCAGCTGCACCATTTTACATCCCCACCAACAGTGCATGTGGGTCTTAATCTCCACATTCTCGCCGATGCCTATTTCATTCTTTTGATCATGGCCATGCTAATAGGCGTAAGGGGGATAGCTCATTGTGGTTTTGATTTGCATTTCCCGGATGATGACTTAACTTGAGCATCTTTTCATAAACTTGTTGGCCGTCTGTGTATCTTGGGAGAAATGTCTATTCAAATTACTTGCCCATTTTAAACCAGGTTATTTGCCTTATTGTTGAGTTGTAAGAGTTCTTTATATATTCTGGATATTAATCCCTTATCAGATAAATGGTTTACAAATATTTTTTCCCATTCTATAGGTTACTTTTTCACTTTGTCGATTGTTTCCTTTGCTGTGGAGATTTTTAGTTTGTAGCCCCATTTGTCTATTTTAGCTTCTGTTGCCTGTGCTTTTGGTGTCATATCCATGAAATCACGGCCAAATTCATTGTTGTGAAGCATTTCCATGTTTTCTTCTAGGAGTTCTGTAATTTCAGGTCTTACGCTTAGGTCTAATTCATTTTGAGTTTTTGTATATAGTGTAAAGTAAGGGTCCAATTTCATTCTTTAGCGTTTGGATATCCTGTTTTCCCAGCACCATTTGTTAAACGGACTAGCCTTTCCCCAAGTTCTGGTACTTTTTTAAACACACAGGATGTGGAAGTGGTCCGGGCTTCCCCACACTGTGAGATCCTTGGTGCTAGCTACATATTCTGTGCAGCCTCAAGATTTTCTGGAGTAGGTGGTATTAGCCCCTTTTTACAGATGAGGAAACTGAGGCTGGGTCCAAATGACCCTCCCAAGGTCGTTAGAGTGAGCAAACAGGTGGAGGTGGGGTTGGAACTGAGGACTTTAACTCAAAAGCCCACAGGCTTGAATCTCGTGGGAATGCTCCCCGTTTTATCCCCAGCCTGCGGGAAAGAATGAATGAATGAATGTCTCGGGCAAGGCTCTCGGCAAACGGCGGAGCTTGGACGAACCCACTGCTCCGCGCGGGGGTGTGCGCCTGACTCGCGCATGCGCAGCCCCTGCGCACGTCCCGCTCCACTACGTCCGGCCGCACATGGTACGGCCTCTCTCCGCGTGGTACGTCCCGCCTTCCCCCACGCCCAGGCCGAGGTGGTACGCGCCGCCTCCGCTCGCCGCCCCTCCCCGTCGGTTTCCGCGCGCGCGAAAAGCCAGGGCTGTCTGTGCTGCTGCCGCCTCTGCTGCAGTTTCCAAGATGCCTGCCCGCACCGCCCCAGCCCGGGTGCCCGCGCTGGCCTCCCGGGCCTTCTCACTGCCCGACGATGTCCGCAGGCGGTAAGTGCCACGGGGGCCCGCGAACGCGGGGGGTGGCACAGCGCTGGGGGGGTCGCTTCCCCGCCGGGTAGCCTGTGGCCGCCGCTGACAGACGGGCGCGCATGCGCGGGGTGGCGCGGCGCGCGGCGGCGGTTGGCGCGGGCAGGGTGGCACTTCCGGTCGCGCGCGCCCCTGGCCGTTTGGCGCCAAAATGGGCCGAGGCACCTCACAGCTCCTTGGTGCCTAGGAACTTGGGGTCTCTTCTGACCTCAAAGTAGAGCAAGCGTTGGGGTCGCCTCGGGGGTCCCCTTCCCGGAGCAGCCGCGGGCCGGGCTCCCGCCGCCAGCCTGGTCGCACAGGAAGTGGGCAGCCCGCGGCCTCAGGACACCCCTCGGCAGGGCACTTCGGCCTCCGCTTCCGGTGCCCGGCCCGCCTGGGGGGTCGTGCCGGCCCGGTCCCCGGGGTCGTTTCGGGGGGCCCCCTCGGCAGCCCCGCGCGGCGCATCCCGATGGCGGCTTCCAGAGACGGACGTCGCCGGTCGGGGCCCGGGCGCGGCCGGCTCAGGTTTGCGAGCCCCGTCTTCCTTGGGGGGCTCCCGCCATCGTCTCGGACTGCAGGGAAGTCACATTCTGGAAGGAACTCGTACCGTGCAGCGCAGGGCCAGGGCTCAGGCAGCGCGAAGGCTGCATGGTCTTTTCTAGTAAATCTGTGCCCATGAGCCGTGGGCATCAAGGAAGCCTTGCTGGGGAGAACTGGCCGCACTTTCCAGTGTGTGTACTTAGGGGGCAGTTTGGGGTCGCTGATGTTGGGGACCAGCTCAAGCAATGCCGTGCACATGGGTCAGTGGCACGACCATTGGGCCCCCTCTTCTTGTTCTAGAAGGGCTCCCATTTCAGTCCTGAAAACTTGTACCCCTCGCTTGGAACGCTGATCGCGGGAACCTTGACCAAGACTGAACACTTCCAAGCGGATTGGTGACCCGGCTTTTGCCATTTCGCTGTGCTTGTTTCCTATGGCTGTGCCAGGCCCGTTCTGATTTGGGCTTTTCAAAGTGGAGTGTGTGTGGGGGTCTCCCTACTGGGTGTTTAAGGTTCCAACCACTTCTTCAACACTGTTAGAGGGGATGTGTCTTGCTGAAGAACCCCTATCTGGATCCCCCCAAGATATAACGTAACTTAAAGTGGAAATGGAATCATGGAAGTCCCTGGCTTCATTTTAGACCCAATACAGAAAAGTTGGGGTCCAGCCTCCTTTCTCTGATGGTGAGAATGCTCCCTCCATTGGCTTTTTTGACCTTGGGCACAAGTGTCATAAACAAGCCCCAGCTGTGGACTAAGATTGACAACATGGGCTTTAATTTTATTTATTTATTTTTCCCCCAAGGCCACAGTAGATAGTTGTATGTCGTAGCTGCACATCCTTCTAGTTGCTGTATGTGGGACGCGGCCTCAGCATGGCTGGAGAAGCAGTGCGTCGGTGCACGCCCCGGATCCAAACCCAGGTCGCCAGCAGTGGAGGGCGCGCACTTAACCGCTAAGCCACGGGGCCAGCCTGACAACATGGGCTTTAAACTGGCATTGGATTAAATGAGAATATGCCTGGCACCTGAAAGCCCACGTGTTAGCATTGTTATCGGCTGATTTAGCTTACTTTCCGGTCTGCGAATCAGTCACTGATTGTATAAAACACTTTACATTATCGCATTTAATCAAGAGTCCTTAAGAGTGGGTGCCACAGGCATCCACTTGGAGGAAGCGGGAATTCCTGCTGAGGTCTGTTTCGTGCCAGAGCCTTTCCCTTCAACGAGGAGTTTCGAACAGCCCACTAGCTCGGGTTTTATTGGGCCGGAGCAGTGTTCTGTTTGGCTGAATTTGAATGTTCTTAGGTTTACAATCCACCATTCACTCTAGCTTCCATCTTACTTGGAACTAGAATTGCCTACTATAGGTATGGAGTTGTGGATTTCTGCCTTAGACCATGTGGTAGACGTTGAAATTGTCAGCTTACATGACCCTCGATAGCTTTTCTTACATCTTGAATTTCAGCATACAAAATACACACATAAACATGGCATTCATCACTCCTTTAAACTTAGATTCATAAACGGAGGTATAACTCTTTTTGACCCACGAAAATTAGACAAGTGTAATCTATAATATAAGAGGAACCTAAGTCCAGTAGAGTGTTCTAGGAACAAAATTGAGGCCTGGTCCTCATGTATGTGTTTCTGTCACTTCTGCTAACTTGTGTTTATATGGCATCTTTTAAAACTCACAGAGTCCCATTAGATATGTAATGATACTGGAAAGTATTTAATTTTGGGTTTTTAAGTCTTGCACTGCTTTTTGGAAGTGTTATATACGCTCAGTCTTCTGAAAATCAGGCTTTTGAGGACAAGCCACGTTTCTCCACTTGATGTTTCTTACTCTGTCCAAGCCGCCATCATTTGTACAGAAGAAGCGAGAGTCTTCCTGCTGTCACTGAGGTCTGTTTTCTCTAAGTGGAAACTGTGATCCTCTTACAACGTGAGTTGGAGCCAGTGGTTTTTCCCGCCCAACACGCTGCCTGGTGCACTTGACCTGGAGTCTGGAATCCCTGTCCACTTGCGTGACTCAGTCTTGTGCTCGTCTCCTCACAAGCCACGCAGGCCTCCTCTGAGGTTCTCGAGGCCTGAGACCATGCAGAGTGACCAGTGTGAGGCTGACTGCTGTCCATTCATCCGTAAGACTGTGCTCAGAAAGACAGTCCCCTTCCCCCACAATGAGAAGGGTGTTGAAATATGTCCGTGCACCCCATGTGCTGCCTTTGCACCCTGGAGTTGGTAAAGGTTTGTTTCCCTTCTTCATTGTATCTGCAGCTTGGTGTACAGTAGACTCAACGGCCTGCCAGCCTTTCCCCTTTAATGAAGCCTGGATTTATGCACTGATTCTAGCAACTTCCTTCGCACAACTGTGATTAGCCTTTGTGATCGTGACAGCTTTCTTATCTGCTAGTCCTTCTGTGATTAGATTAGGCTGCCTCTTGATGTTCTTAACTAGTTCCATGGCTCCTCTCGAGTAGGTATTGAAGAAGGCAAAACTGACTTACCTTTTCTGGTTCTTCCCTGCCGCAGGATTCTAGAGGTGCAGACTACTGAGGTTCAAGTCTCACCCTCCCACTTGCCGACTGTATGGCCAAGCTGTCTAAACTGGTGCTTTCTCTGTAAAAGGGGATGAAGGTGCCCGCTCCACCGGGGTGTTAAGAAGATGAACTCAGCTGATAGGTGTCGGCTGTATATTTCATTTCCATAAGGGGAGCATCATTTAAAGTACTGACATACAGATCTGATGCTGAGGCAGATATTAATGTAGCACTGTATGCCGTGTAGAGATGAGGTATATACCTCCTCCTCATTCCAACCTTGCTCTTTGCCTGGCTTCTTGTAGAATGATCTAGACTTGTTCTTTCTGCTCCCACCATAGCTTTTGTGCCAGCTGTCCAGTCCTACTCTTGATTGCATTCTTCTCTTAAAGGTTGAAGTGGCTTTGTCTTTCATCTCTCATATCTTGCTTCGTAATTCTTTGTATCCTTGGCTTTTGTGATGCTATGTACTACTAGGGAGGCTCTTTCTTCCCTCATCCCTCTCACCTCCTTTCTTTCATTCTTGGACCCTTCTCTCTTCCAGTCCTGGGACTTCTACTTTTAGCCGTTGGGGTGCAGCTGGAGGTAGCTACCTCAAGTTTTGATGCCTCTCTGGAGAGCCACTTCTAACTTCTAGCTGCTGGATCGCCATCTAGACAGCTACTGTTCACTGAAACATCACTCTTAACACTCATGGCCTGCTTACTCTTTCCACCAAAAAGTGCTGAATTTCTGATACTTGATTAGTTTTCGGTTACTGCCATACAAATTACCACAATCTTAATAGCTGAGATAAAACAACATAAATTATCTTATAGTTCTGTAGGTCAGAAATCTGGTGTGAGTCTCACTGGATTACAATCAGTGTCAGCAGGCTGTGTTCCGTTCTGGAGGCTCTGGGGGGAAGGGAATCTCCTACTCTTTTGGGTTGTTGGCAGAATTCAGTTCCTTGTGTTAAGACGGAGGTTCTTCTTTTGCTGGCTGTAAGCTAAGGGCCATGCCCAGCCGCTGGAGGTGATAACATCCCTCAGTTCGCGGCCCCCCTCCCTCCATCTTTAAAGCCAGTTCTCACGTCGCAGCTCTCTTTTGACCCATCTGTAGTCTCATCTTTTGAAATGCAGCAGGAAAGGTTCTCTCAAGGATTTAGGTGATTAGATTGGGCCCCCCTGAATAATCAGGATAATCTCCCCATCTCAAGGGTTATAAGCTTAATCACATCTTCAGAGTCCCTTTTGCCATGTAAGGTAACAGAGTCACAGGTTCTGGGGGATTAGGGTGTAGACATCTTTGGGGGGTCCATTATCCTGCCTCCCACAGATACCATCTCAGATAGCCCTACCCCACCCACCATGCAGCCAGTCTTGAGAGGCGGAGTTAACAGAGCTTTGTAACTTCTCTTGCACAGTCTCCATGCCTGCTGCTAAACCACATTTCAGACCAGCCTTTCTAGTTTAGGGTGTGAGGAAGAGATTACAAAATATTAAGTTACTGTGTCTAATCTATATTCTATATTTCTCCCAGATTAATTTTCCTAAAGCCTGCCTCTTTGATCTTGGCTTCCACGTCCCGCATGACTTCCTCAGTGGTTTGTTAACTATGGAACCAGATCAGTGATATTTAGTGTGACGTTCTTGAGCTCCCTCGGACTGGCACCCAGCCTCCACTCTCTGGAATTGCCTTTCCTACCATTTGTGTTAACCCGACTTGTGTCGGTTTCCGGGGTGTACCGGGCCAGCTCCCCCACTGTGCTGCTGCTGTTCAGGCAGCTCCCTCTGTCATCTTCCCACCGAGCTCTCAACTCCCCTGACCCCTCCTTCCTGATGCTGCTTATGCCCTTTCTCTTCGGAAGCCCTCAGATTTGAACTGTATCTGCCTTACTCCTTCACGGCTGTTTATATGTGTATATATCTCCCATAAGACCACTGTCTGAGGGGAGCCAATGGAATGAATCATGGGATCTTGGGCTGGCAGGGAGCTAAGGTTTCTCTCGTTGATAACGTGGTTGCTGTTCTCCGCGTTGGGTACTCTACCTGGTCCTCCACGTTCGTTTCTAATCCTCCTGGCTGTGAACGTAAAGCAGATGTCAGGTGGGGTCATCAGTTTTACTGGGAAGGGACGGACTCTCCAGTGAGGGCCTGGGTAGCAGGGAGGAGAGGCACACTGCTGACAGCCTCCTTCCTGCCAGCACCTCTGGCTCCTCGGTGCCGGCCCTGGGCTCCGACCTTCCACTCTGGGCCAGGCAGGTTAAACCAGTCTTCGTGGGGCAAGACATTCTAGGTATTCTGAAGACTTCTTTATTTCTCTCTGCCAGGCGAAATATCCCAGTTCATAGGAAAGATGGGAAGAATTCAGACCCTCAGATCTGTCTGGTGCCCACATGTAGGAGTTGTCTGCCTTGTGAAAGGGCACCTTGTTGGGCTTCAGTCCATTGAGCGTTGTCCTTAATGCCTGAGGGACCCGCAGGATCGAGGGGCCGTCGCTGGTGGAGGTAGGAGCTGTGACTTACCCTAGTCTTGTGAGCGGAGGACTGACGGTCAGATGTGAGGGTCGCGCAGCAGCACGTGCGCCCCTGGCTGTGAGTGCCCAGTTCTGCAGCTGTGCGCATGGAAGGCTCTCCCAGGACCCGAGTTACTTCGAAGGTTGAATGACTTTTGCCTGGAACGGGCTCCCTGTGCTTCTGGAAAGCTTGATTCTGAATCTTCTTGAGTCCAAGAAGATTCTTGGATTCGTAAGAATCTACATATGTAATCTACAGTATATACTACCACTGTATCTGCAGTCTGCCGGGCGTCTTTTCTCCAGAAGGACCTTGCCTGACTCCCCCCGTCGGGAGGCCCCTGCCTGGCTGTGCCTGTGTCCAACCCCCCAGCTTGTTGCCTGGAGCAGGGCTGGCAGACGGTAGGTGCCCACAGATGTGAGTGGCGATTGAAGCTAGAAGCAGGGTCCGCATGCACTTGGAGCAGCCGCTGAATGACACTTGTCCGGCAAAGCCTGTCGCTCATGTTCCTGGCTGCTTACACTCGCCCTCTGGAGGTGCCTGCCTGGAAGAACTGTTCCTGCCCTTTGGGCTAGTGATAACCGAGTACCTGGTCTGTGGGTGCTGAGTGGGAGGGTCCAGAGATGCTGGAGGCCTCCCTGCCCAGGGCGCTCCCCCTTCACTGACAGCCGCTCACCCATCTGGTCAGACCTGTTCTCACCCACTGCCCACGGTCGGCACCGGGGCTGGGAACAGCAGCCTCTCCAGTCAGCTCCTTTCCTCCACGTCTTCTATTCTCGCTCCTTTAGTCTCTCTTCTCCCTTCCCCCAAAAGGGGCAAACACTGATCTCCAGTGATGGAATCAGACCATGATTTTCCAGCCCAACTTATGACAGTTCTGCTCTTCTGAATGATGAGGTACAAACATGCCGAAGGATAAGCTCTTGGGTGAGGCGCCAGCCAACTTCTCTGACTTTGTCTATCACCCCTGTGTGTGGGCACCCCCTGCTGCCCCACACGCCGTGACTCCATGTCATGCATTCCTCATTAGAATGCTGCCGTCCCCCCCACCCCGCCTTTCGGAGCGTTAGCTGCCTGGTCCCCACAGCATCCTGTGGCCCTGGTCCGCTCATTCTAGCACTGCCCACACTGGAGTGTGCCTTCTTACGGGCTCTTGTCAGATCCAGCTGGAGGTAGACCACCTGTAGGTCTTAACTTGCAGAAGGACCCCAACTGTGTCACCTACTGCTTCCTTCCCAGAGCCTTTTAAAATAGCATATATTGGACCGGGCCTGTGGCTTAGTGGTTAAGTGCATGTGCTCTGCTGCTGGCGGCCCGGGTTCGGATCCGGGCGCGCACCGATGCACTGCTTCTCCGGCCATGCTGAGGCTGCGTCCCACATACAGCGACTAGAAGGATGTGCAGCTATGACATACAACTATCTACTGGGCAAAAGATAGTTGGGGGAAAAAATAAATAAATAAAATTAAAAATAAATAAATAAAATAGCATATATTGTGAGAGAGCTCCTCTATCATCTCTTACCATCGTCAGAAAAACTGTCCCCCAGAAAGGGACCTCTTTTAGAGCACAAATGACTTCCTAATTTGTAGGCATTACAGTCGGCATCTATACATCGGGGTGGGGGAGGAAAAAAACCACCTTTTTTTTTTCTAACACTCATGTTAAATTGACTTCCAAAGTTCTTTAGAACTGTGGTATTAATTCTTGCAGGTAAATAAAGTTGCTTAACAGGTATTTCTTTCTTTCTCCCCTATTTTGTTCCTCCAGACTCAAAGATTTGGAAAGAGATAGCTTAACAGAAAAGGTAATCTCCACCTTAAAAAATTTTTTATTACTAAATGTGACTACTTGACAGATACTTTGTGGCTCATAAATTTAAGTGGAATCAGCTTTTTTCCATAAAGTTTTGAAGATAACTTGGATATGCTTATTTAATGCACTGCATTAATATGCTGCTAATATTAGTTGACATTTGATAACTCATTGAAAAGTTGCCCAGTCTAGGTTCCAAACCATCAATTCTGAATTGTAACTTGTCCTGGTCAGTTTTCAAAAACACGGTTTGGTTCTAATACACCATTATGTGTCTGTCTCATCTCTGATCTTCCCATTTTTTCACCACTATGGAGACGGTGTGATGTGTGTGATCTTAATGGAAACATCACGAATGTGTCTTGTGAATATGTAGTTTTTCTGGCCAAGTCAGCATTGCCTGCCATTCAGTCATTGTTACGTGACCAGGCAGCTTAATTACTTGTGTATTAGTTAATAGCTTGAGAGTTTGGGGACGTCTGATCCTGTATCCTTCCCTTAGGAATGCGTGAAGGAGAAACTGAATCTCTTGCATGAATTTCTGCAAACAGAAATAAAGAATCAGTTATGTGATTTGGAAACCAAATTACATAAGGAAGAATTATCAGAGGTAAGTCAGTGCTCTGCATCCCGGCCTCTAGAGGACGCCTCCCCCGGGTAACGTGCCTGTGCCCGGGGAGGCCGAGCAATCCCCCGCTCTCCCGTTACCCGATAGTTGTAAAGGGAAGTGCGTGTGTCCCCTTATTCTCTCACTGCCACTGGTTTACATTCACTGCTACTTAAATTATCCTTTCCCGCTGTAGGAGGGCTACCTGGCTAAAGTCAAATCCCTTTTAAATAAAGATTTGTCCTTGGAGAACGGAGCGCATGCTTTCAGCCGGGAAGTGAATGGATGTCTAGGAAACAGGAGCCAGGCAAGTGGCGAGAACCGCAGAGTGGCAATGGCAGAGGAAAACAAGTCCCCCAAACCTGTTTCCAAACTTTACATGCCCAGAAGAAGCAAGTCCGATGGAGAGACGAAGCGTAAGAGCCCTTGACTCGTTCACCCTTGATGCAGGCGGGTACCACGTGAGGGGACGGTCAGACTTGGAGCTGGGGAAGTGCTTCCTGGTTTGTTTCTTGTGTATATTCCTAACTAGGAAGTATTGCATACTTCCCGACTCGCTTAGATGCACACTTCTTTAAAGTTTGTCCTTGACCTGGTATAGAGCCTTAGATCCCAACATGTGGCTAAATTTATGATGTATAAGATAACAGGGGCTACTGATGCTACTTCTAAATTATGTGCCTATGTAAGCTAAACACTTATTCATAGATTCCGAGTTTGTAGTCAAAGTGACTCTTGTGGAATCTTTAAAAATGAAAGAGCATGGACTTGAGCTCAGGTCCGGTTCTCGGCCACTTCATCTTTTGCTGATACCAAGGGGAGGTTCTGTTTCCTTGTCTGGGTCAGGGGCTGGCGCCTCAAATAAGAGCTCGTGTAAAATGGCTCAGCAGACTGACAGGTGCTAATTGCTGACTGGATGAAGATGGTTGTTGGTTGGAATAAGAAGGGAAGATGCTTAATCCTCAGAACCTGGTTCTCTGCACTAGCTTGGCAATGCTGGAGAACTGCACCTTCGCTGTGAACTTTTTAATTCATAGTGGCTTTTTTTTCTTGTTTCTTTTTTCTTTAAACAGCCGAAGTCTCATCTAGCCCCAGGATTACAAGGCAAACTACCAGGCAGACCACCATCACGTCTCATTTTGCAAGGGGGTCAGTATATAAGGAATTGACAGCCGCCTTTTCTAGGGGCCAGCTGTTTTTGGTAAAACGTGCAATTAGTAGGATGTAATTTAGCAATTCTGACTTCCACATTGCATAGTTTTCAATGCAGTTTTGTTCGTTAGACATTCATGAACAGTATTTCTGAAAACCTCATCTATTTTTACTCTTATTATAAAGGAAACTTCAAATGCACACAAAATTAGCGAGGATAGTAAAATGAGCCCCCAAGTACCCATCACCCGGTGTCAACAGTTAACAGCTCCTGGCTGTCATTTTATCTATACCCCCATATACTCCAACTGGATTATTCCAAGTGGATTACAACTCCATATACCCCCATGACCCCCAATTGGATTACTTTAAAACAAATCCCAGACATGCCTCTTATCCATAAATATTTCAGTATATTTCTAGATGAGGAGTCTCTTTCTGACAACTTTAGTATTCATATTTTCTATAATTGCTAACATTTAGCAGTCCTTTTAAAAAGGCAAAACATAACTATAATACTATTTTCATACCCTATAAAGTGATAATTCCTTTCTATCAAATATAGCAGTGTTCACATTTCCCCATGTGTAGCAAATAAACTGTGTTTGGTTGATTTTTTCCTTTAAGCCTTTCGAATTATAGATTCCTTTTTATTTTCTTGCCGTTTATTTGAAGAAACTAAGTTGGCTGTCCAGTAGAGTGTCTAGATCCAGCTGACTGCATCCTTATGGTGGATGCGTTCCCTTGTCTCATTTCCTGTAAACAGGTAGTTGGGTCTAGAAGCTTGATCAGAGTCCAGCTTTTTTTTTTTTTTTTTTTTTGAGACTTCTTCGTAGACAGCGCTGTGGCCTTCCTTCCATCAGTGGCATGTAATGTCTCTTCGTGGTACTACCAGCCGGTGATCAACATTTAGATCCACGATTTCTTAGGGTTTGCAAAATGGCCATATTCTAAACCTGTCACTCAAAGAAACATTAAGCTTGAAGCCTCTTTCACCATCCTGGCAACGAGGGCTTATCCTTGGAGGGAAGAGGGCATCTAGGCCCTGAGTCTGTCCTTGAGAGGGCGCTCTCGGTAGGGAGGTGTGTAAGTCGGTTCCTGCCCGCTGGAGGTCTGGGGACTGGCTGAGCTAACGGTTGGCTTTACTGTGTGTCATAGCCCTGCCAAACGGAAACCTGAAGAAGAGCTTGAGCGAGAGAGAGCAAAAGCAGACGATTCTGTTGACGAAGAAAAAGACCAGGTAGGCTGGTGTTTTCAAGTTTCTTCACTCGGCCTTATTTTGGTACACCTGCTGGTAATTATGGCTTTACACCTGGCCTGTCTCAATGGACCTGAAGGACTGAGAAGGAGCTAGAACATATCCCTGGACTCGGGGCAGTATGAAGTACATCATGGTTAGACCCGAGGGCTCGGCAGGCCCCTGCCACTCACGAGGCAGCCCCGTAACTTCAGTCTGTTGCCTACTCTGTCTACCTTCCTGCCTCTCTAGCTGACAAGATTTATGACAGGCAAGCCAGCAGATGTGACGTGTTTAAAGCATTTGCTTCTGATGTCACATAAGCTCCTTTTAACATCTATCCAGTTGTTATATGTAGTGTAATAATGCTGCTTAGAATGCTTGGGTTAGAGCACTGGTGGCTCATTGAAGGCTCCGATACAGAAAATGTTCATCTCCGATGGTACTTTCCCTTGTGACTTAAGGAGGCCAAACCTGCATGACACCAGATGATCACATGCTGTTGCCTTTCATTTCCGTTTTGCCGCAGGATTAGCTATGAGAGTTGAGGGGAATTGTATAGGTTTACGTGTGGGTAGTAAATGCCTTACTGTTACCTAGTAAAGATGGGTCTCTGGTTTGCTCTAAGGCAGGATTTCTCAACCATGGCATTATTGACTTTTGGGGCTGAGTAACTGCTGTGGGGGGCTGTCTTTTGCGTTGTAAAGTGTTAACATCCTAGACCTCTACCTGCTAGATGCCAGTAGCATTCACCTTCTCCCCTCCCAATTGAGACAACCAAAATCATCTTCAGACATTGCCAGATGTCCCCTGGGGGGCAAAATTGCCCTGAGTGAGAAGCAGTGGGCTAAGGGGTCACCTGGCTCCCAGTCTCACTGAGGTAGGCCTGACATCCTCTTGTAGGACACACTAATTTGTGTATCACTTTATTCTTAGAAATTAGATGTCACTGTTCATGTCTCTATTCAGATAGCTGTAGTTAGGTTTAGTTAGAGTACCCACTCAAGTGGGAAATTGAGGCACAGAGGGAAACAACTTGTCCAAGTCACATGGCCAAGTCCTTTGCCTCCTAGGAAAAAGCATTACAGATGAAAGCAAGCTGGCTCTTGTAATATTGACAACTCTGTTTTTTACAAACGCACCAGTTTTAGAGCTGTTCCTTGCACTCAGACCTTTTGGAGACCTTACGTAGCCTTTTTATCTGGCTTCTGAAGACATGTGCCGAGCACTGTTTCCCGAGGAGGAAACTGTTTCACTGGAAGTGTGAGGGAGGCCCTGGGTGCTGCGTGGATGAACATTCCAATATGCTAGAGTAAGACCTTGTGTACCAACCCAGTGTTATCAGACGATATCGGTCAAATAAGTAGTAATACAAAGAATCTGACATTAGTCAACTTAAAGTTTTGAGAATTTACTAAAAACAGGTATTACATGCATTTGGTAAAACTTTCAAATAGTACAAAAGGGTGTTCAGAACATAGATCTCCCTTATGCCTCGCCCTGAACCTCCAGTTTGCCTTTCTAGAGGCAAGCATTTACCAGTTCATTCTATATTGTTTTAGATGATATATACATGTGTGTGTATATATATTAGTGTAGTATGTCAGTATAAAATCTATATTAGTCAGGGTTCTCCAGAGAAATGGAACCAATGGGCTGTCTGTATATATGAGATTAATTGTAAGTAACTGCTTCATGCAATTATGAATCTGGCAAGTTGGAAATATGCAGGACAGGCCAACAGGCTGGAGACCCAGGGAAGAGTTGATGTGGTAGCTCAAGTCCAAAGGCAGTCTGGAGGCAGAATTTTATATATATGTATGCATATTAAGATTTTTAAACATACATTCCATGTAATATAGTGCAGAGAGATTCTGTGTAATTTACCCACCTTTCCCCACTGGTAACATGGCACGTAACTCTAATACAATAGCAAAACCAGGAAACTGACATTGGTGCAATCTACAGACTTTCTTCAGGTTTCACCAGTTTTCACATGTTATGTGTATATAGTCACGTGTATGCTATGGATTCTTGTAACCTCCACCTCAAACAAGATGCAGATCTGTTTCATCACCACCATATTCTTATCCCTTTTATTTTTTTTATTTTTTATTTTTTTTCCCCCAAAGCCCCAGTAGATAGTTGCATGTCATAGTTGCACATCCTTCTAGTTGGTGTATGTGGGACGCGGCCTCAGCATGGCCAGAGAAGCGGTGCGTTGGTGCGTGCCTGGGATCCGAACCCGGGCCACCAGTAGCGGAGCGTGCACACTTGACCGCTAAGCCACAGGGCCGGCCCTATCCCTTTTAAATACATAAACACACACATCCTTCCTGATGTGAATCCGAAATTAAAAGAATTCCTGAGATAGGTGGAGGATCTTTGATTCTTTCACGTAGCAGCGCTAGATGGTCTCGAGTGCTTAGACGTGTGCTGGGCCAACGCCTGGACCGCCCCTTTGTTTTGAGGGTGGGGAGACATCAATGCCACACTGGCAGTTGCCTAGGTCTTCTCCCCACAACCCAGACCACCCCCCACACCCAGACCAGCCCCGCCCCACCCAACCCCATTTATAACCGTATCACGTATGTTTATTTAATACTTTGACTCATGCTTTTGGTTTTGATTTTCTTTTGAAATGAACATTCTTGTCTTTCTCTTCCTCCTTTCTCTCCATGTAGGAGGAAAAGAGACGTCGAGTTACATCCAGAGAACCGTAAGAATAATTAATATACCTTTTTGTTCTGTGCAATGTGTAGTCTTGATTACTGAAATGACTTTTCTGAAACCTTTTAGAAGGAACTTCATAGTGAGTTGCCATGGCGACCAGAGATAGCTTAAGGATGCTGAGTTTGGGGTTGGATTATTAGCCTTTTGATTCGGGGGAATGCTCCTTGCAAAGAGTGCGTTGAGGGCAACTGGCGGTTGTTATCAGAACGACATCTAAAGGTCATATGAAATGTTAAAGTGGTGTGTGCCCTTCAGGGCTCCTGAGATGGAGAGTGCTTTCTCGGATAGGAAGGAGGACCTTCTGAAAACAGCTTCCAGGAGAGGAGTGTGTGAAAGTCACCATTGGCTTGTTTTCTTTTGCTTGACAGAGTTGCTAGACCACTCCCTGCAGAAGAACCGGAAAGAGTAAGACCAGGCACACACACGGAAGAGGAAGAGGAGAGAGATGAAAGAGTGAGGCCTAGTCACCCGCAAGTTTGTCACCTCTGCCTTAATCTCATAAGAGTCTCCACTTGGTTCTGGGAAGGAGGCGGTTAGGGGGTGGGGAGCATGCAGGAACAGAATGACTTTCCCTCATGATCACAATGCCCGTGACTTTGGCTAAAACGTTTTTCAAACTCATTTTTCTGGTAGTTCTCTACGGGGAAGGTGCGTTCCCGTTTTGGTTTGGTTTCATGTTAAGACATTGATTCGAAGTTTCTTACAAACTCGAATGGGTGTGGGTGCTGTTACTGGCAGCCTATTAAAGGCTGAGGGTCCATTATTTTGCTCTGATGGAGAATCGACCAAGATGTATGATAATTCTTATACCATTTGGTACTTGAAGCAAGTCTGTAGTTGATCACCTTCCCTACCCTGATACTAGTTAAGATTAGACAGCAGTTACAGGCGGGATACGCCATTCACTTGAGAACAGGCAGTTCTAATGGGGCCAGCTCAACCACCCTCCAAAGAAGGAGCTTTGGGCGGCTGCCAGGATGTCTTCTCGCAGTGGGAAGGCCTGCGACACGTTTCTTCTCTAAGACCACTGACCTCTGTGGGCTCTTTACAAAGCGCGTGGGCGTGCTGAGGCTGCACTGGCCTTGAGCAGCGTTCAGGAGAGACGTTTAACTCCTCAAACTCGGGCTCAGAGCAATGCCGTGTTTCGGGTGGAGCTCTTTGTACAGATTGGGTCATCCTGCTCTGTTCCTTCATTAGAGATTCTTACTCTAGATATTAAGTCGTTTTCTATGAGGTTGTCAACACTCGTCATGACAGGTGGTAGAGGGATTTGGGGGTAAAAAACGCTTAAACTGCAGGATCTCTCCTCTGAGAGTTTCTTTAATTTCCTGCCTATTGGCCCCACACACAAAAAAGTGCTGTCTTGAAGGTAGACAGTCTTTACTCCCACCAACTAGACTCAGGACCAGTTTAGATATTTTCTTTCCTTAGAACACTTTAATAAAGATTAAGGCCAAATGGGGAAAAATTAACTAGTCTTTTTCCCCCCATTTAGGAAGAAAAGAGACTCAGAAGTCAAACCAAAGAACCGTAAGTATAGTTAACATGGCTTGTACTTTATATTGTGAAACTTAATTGCTAAAATAAGCGTTCTGGTAGAAATAATGGATTGGACAGACGATTAGGTCCACTAATTATATATATAGTGTGTGGGTGAGTTCCGCTTGTGGAAAAGAGGCAGACCACCACTGTGAAGGCCGAGGTCAGCTGGGATTTGGCTACCTTGACCCCACACTCTTCCTCAGCAGTGGTCATACAGCAAGCAGTTTGTCAGGTGGTGGTTAAAGGGCGTTGAATGAGGAGCTTTGTCAGTTACCCGTAGCTATGGAAACGCTGTGTAACAAACAGCCCCAAAGCTCAGTGGCTTAAGACAGCCAGCAGTTATCGAGCTCACGAGTCTGCAGCTCGGTGGTTATCAGCTGTTCTTGGCCAGGCTTGGCAGGGACAGCAGGCTGACCCACTTCTGCCCCACGACTTCGCCATCCTGGGCGCACTCTCCTGGCAGTGGCAGAGCGAGAGGGCAGAAGTGAAAAGAATCACTTTCTCAAGCCTCTGACATCCAATTGGCCGAAGCAAATATTGACTGGGCCTGAGTCGGGGTGGGCAGAACACAGGAACCAAGTGACAGGGCCCTGGCTGAGGGAGAGGCGAAGATCCCGTGTGTGCATTCAGCTTTCCACAGTCGCTGGTATAGACCGCCCATCAGACCAGTGCTCCTGGACCTACACGGGGTCAGCCTCGGGCCAGCCACTTGCCTTCCTCCACCGCAGGTGGGATTCCCATCAGATTACAGGAAATCAGTGGAGTCTTGTTGTCTGTTTTTTGTTTTAAACTCCTGGCACTTCATTGACGTTCGTATGACGTGTTGATGGCATTTCTGAAGATCATAGTTCTGAAGTAATAAAGGCCTTTTGGGTTTCCTGCAGTGGAGACTTGCCCTTCAGATGGGAAGGCACCCCACGCTCTGACTCCAGGGAGGAGACTGTGTGAGCCCTCCCTGGGCCACTGGAGATGACGGCAGGCTCCCTGAGCTGACGGGGGTGTGTGTGTCTTGTTTTGTGTCACAGGACACCTAAACAGAAACCGAACGAGGAGCCGGATGGAGAAGCCAGACCAGGAGTTCAGGCTGAAGCAGACGAAGGCGGAGAAGAGAGAGTAAAGACTGAATTTATTTCACTCTGTTCTTACGTTCCCATTTAGTTGGGAGAAATCGCACAGGGCAGGGCTGTGGGTTCCAGTCCAGCCCCACTTCCCCATGGGGTGACTGAGCAACTTACCTAATCCCCCTCGGGGCCCGCCAGCTGGTGGGAGGGGTGGTTGGTGGTTGTCACTGCGTGTCAGTGCCTGTCACATAGTGAGCATTCCCTGTCTGTTTATCCGTAACCGTGGAGAGGGCCTGTGTGTGCCTTCACTAAGGTCTGTGTGGAACCAACTTCCTTGAGATCCTCTCCACTGAGAAGGCCTGACGTGTGTCAACCCAGACCCATGTGTCAGCCATGTCTGTGCTTTAGTCAGTCTCCTAAATTCTAGTCTAGCTCCCCTCACCCCTGCCAGCCTCCCTAATTCAGCTAAGTGAACATGTTTAAACCCTAAAACATACGTTGAGCCATGGACAGTCATCTGTAAAAGTACGGGATGGTAAGGTTATCCGCATGGCTGTCCTCTACCTGAGCCTGAGGGGAATGGAGACTTCTGGGGGCCACAGCCCAGGAATCGCCAGGTCTTTGAGCAGTTTGGTCCCGGTCTAAGAGGATGAAACAGGATAATCCCAGGATGGTCTCCATGGTTTTCTGTCTGAGATCCAGAGAGGGGAGCCAGGGTCACAGACTAGCTGGGTCCTGAGCATTCTCATGTTCTCAATTCCAACCTGGTGGGCGGTGGGCGTCCACTCGTCCTATGGCAGATGACCCTTCTGGTGTCGCCTCCAGCTTGCTCTAATGTCTTATTGTCCCTTGCCTTTTCTGTCCGGATGTTAGTCACTTACTGTCAGCACTTGGCTGGATCCCTTTAGGTCTAGAGAGATCTTGGTGGTGGCGTCAGACCACGCACTTCCTCACACAGAAACCTCGGGAGCTTCAGACCATACAGCCAGCACTTTTGTGGCGTGATAGAATGGGATAGGAGGATCCAACATTTGACCTTCTCTAATATTATTGACTCTTCCGTCTTAATAAATCCATTCATAGATTTTCTGCTTTATGAAGATGAGCTAAACAAATTTATCAGAAAGGTATTTTTTATATGCAGGCTTAGAAGACACTAGATCATCCATATGTAACAGAGTTGACTGAGTTGGAAATTCCTACTTCTGTTTTTTTAATTTTTCATACTAGAATCCTAAATTTGATTCCCACTCTTTGCTGTCCTAATGCCTGTCTGTGTGACATCTTCACCCCTGACCCGGTGACAGATGGAGCTGTAGGCGTTTTGGCTGACATAAGCAAAATGGCTATAAAATTCCCTTGTATGCTGAGCTATCCTAGGACAGGAGTTGGCACACTGTGGCCCGCAGGCCAGAGCTGGCCCTCTGCCTGTTGTTGTAAATAAAGTTTTATTGGAACACAGCCATACCTTTTCACTTACATATTGTCTCTGGCTGCTTTGTGCTTCAATGGCAGAGGTTAGTAGTTGTGACACAGAACATGTGGCTTGCGAATCTGAAAGTATTTGTTTTCTGGCACTTTACAGAAACAGTTTGTCAACTCTTTTTGGTAGGGGGTAGGGAACTGAGTTAACAATTTGAAGCCTCACTTCTACTGTGTAGATCTGCCCAGATTTTCCTGTTCTCTAGTTCCACAGTGCTGCGATCATTAGCTGATACTTTGGTGTTTGGTCTCGCTCTTCCTTGGAAACTAATTTTTCTCCCTTTATCTCTCCACCCGCACTTCCCTCTGTCAGGATGAGAGGAGGCAAAGAAGTCAACCCAAAGATCTGTAAGTGGTTAAAATGCTTGTGTTTTTGTGCTGTGCTTTGTGTAATTTTAGTTGCCGAAATAACTGTTCTAGAGACCTGTGATGATATAGAGATGTACAAGGAGTTGCTGATGCTGTTGGGAGACTGGGTCAGTTCGGGCAGGATTGGATAAGAAATCAGACTCTGGGCCCCATCCTTTCCCCTTACCTGCCACCACTTTGGCCGCACTCTCGTCCCTGCAGAGTCACGTGTGTCCCCTAGCTTCCAGCACCTCTCATTGGGCCTCACGCCTGAGGGGTCACCTGGGGCTTCTGAAGGCCTTGTTTTAGGATTACGAGTTAGCAATGTGCCTTTAGAGCCCCCATGACAAGGGGGATATCACTTTTGGACGGAAAGAATCTGTTCCCCAGATGTACTCTGAATATTTTACTTGCCAACAGGGAGGCGTTAGTTTGTCATTTTTGATGTGAGTTGGCAGTATAGTCAGTTTTTCTGAGCTAACGTTTAGCATATATTTGTTTACCAAATAGAGCTGCCAAAAGGAGACCTGAAGAAAAAGAACCTGAAGGAGTAAAACCACAGGTTTCTGATGAGAAAGATGAGGATGAAAAGGTAAGGCCTTGTTTTTCAATCCTGCCGTATTTCATACAGCCTGAAGTGATTTTTTTTTTAAACTAACTTTATTATAGAAACATTCAAACATACCCCAAAGTAGGCAGAATAGGGTAGCAAACCCTCATGTTCTCATCATCAGCCTTCACTTATCGACTCATGGCCAAGCGTGTTTCTGTCAAGCCCCACCCGTTCCCCTCAGCCTCCCTCACCCCGGATGATGATAAACAAATCCCAGACATGTTACTGAAATGTTTACAGAACTACCCATAAAAGAAAAGGACTCTGTTTTTAAATATCACCACAAGACCGTCATCATAACACAGCTAATATGTCAAGATCTAGTCTGAGTTCAGATTTCCCTGATTGTCTCTGTTGTCTGTTTTTTACAGTTTGTTTGTTTCAGTCAGCACCCAAACAAGGTCCATACGAGTCTGGTTGATGTTGGTCCTAAATGTCTCATGTCGTTTCGCCCCTCTCCCCTTACTTGCAGCTTGTGGAAAGGACCGGCTTACCTGTGAAGTTTCTGGATTCTGAATTTTGCCATTTGCACCCCTCTCGTGTATAGTGTCTCCCTCCAGCCCCGTCTCCTGCAGACTGACAGTTCAGTCCAGGGGCTTCACCAGATGCTGGTCTTCTGTTTTCCAGAGCGCTTCTGAGGTGGTGCCGTGTGCTTCCTGTTGTATCTGCCAGAAGGCACAGCTGTCTTTTTATGGTGTTAAGATTGATCCCTGGGCTCAGGCACTGTCTGCCTGATCCATCCATTATAAAGTCCCCCTCAGCTGTTCCCCTCAGGTTTTTATAACAGTCATTGCTTAAATCCATTATTTCACTAGGAGTTGCAGAGTGATAATAGCCCTTCATTTCTTCCTTCACTCGAAATCTAGAAATGTGTCCCCTCATTAGTCTGCTCGGGCTGCCATAACAATCGACCACAGTCTGGGTGGTTTAAACAACAGACACTTATTTTTTTCACACTTTCAGAGACTGGAAGTCCAAGATGGAAGTGCCAGCAGGGTTAGTTTCTGGTGAAGCTCTCTTCCTGACTTGCCGAAGGCTGCCAGGAAGTGTCCTGTGCTGTGTTCGTGCTGTGTCCTCATGTGGCCTCTCCCTGTGTGGGCACAGAGGGAGAGAGAGTGAGACCTGGTGTCTCTTCCTCTTTTTATAAGGACACCAGTCCTCTCAGATTAGGGCACCACCCGTATGACCTCATTTAACTTGAATCATCTCCTTCAAAGCCTCATTTCCAAATACAGGCATACTCAGGATTATTTTATAGAGCTTCAGCATATGCACTGGGGGGGACACAGTTCAGTCCATAGCACCCCTCATCAGTTTTTTACTTACTTTGAGGTGCCACTTGTACAGGAAAGCTAAGGGTTTTTTAAAAAATTGGTCTCTCGGGGCCAGCCCGGGGGTGTAGTGGTTAAGTTTGCACGCTCCACTTTGGCAGCCCAGGGTTCGCGGGTTCAGATCCCGGGCGCGGACCTACGCACCGCTCATCAAGCCACACTGTGGTGGCATCCCACATACAAAATAGAGGAGGATTGGCACAAATGTTAGCCCAGAGACAATCTTCCTCAGGCAAAAAGAGGAGGATTGGCAACAGATGTTAGCTCAGAGACAATCTTGCCCACCAAAAAAAAAAATTGGTCTCTCATGAGTCTTTTAAGGAAGTCTTTGGTTATAAGAATTTTGATTATAAGACTTTGGACACTAGCAATGGCTTGGATTTCACTGGTCCTTTGGTTGCTTCCCCCTCCGCCTCTGACTAGGTTTTGTGAAAACCACGTATATAAAATTTGTAACTCTACAGCATTATCCAGATGTAGGATGCTTTTTTACCCTTCACTCCTCTTTTGTTTTCTACATTTAGGAGGAGAAGAGACGCAAAACTACATCCAAAGAACCGTAAGAACCTATTTTTGTCTTTATGCAAAGTAGATCATGATATTAAAATGATTGTTCTAGGGGCCGGCCTGGTGGTGCCGTGGTTAAGTGCGCACGCTCTGCTGCGGCTGCCCGGGGTTCGCAGATTTGGATCCCAGGCGCGCACCGATGCACCGCTTGGCAAGCCCTGCTGTGGTGGCATCCCATATAAAGTAGAGAAGATGGACATGGATGTTAGCCCAGGGCCAATCTTCCTCAGCAAAAAAGAGGAGGATTGGCATCAGATCTTAGCTCAGGGCTGATCTTACTCACCAAAAAAAAAAAAAAAAATGATTGTTCTAGAAAGGAAAAGGGGTTTTCAGTGAATTGCCAGAGCAGCCTTAGCTTTGAATCTGATTGGGTCTGAGCACAGGACCAAGACGCCCTAATCCTGCCACAAGAGGCAGGTCCCCTCCATGCGGCAAAGAGATAGTCATGACCTAGACCTTGCCCCTTACACAACAGCTGGTGCTCACCTGTGTCAGGTAGATTAGGTATAACTGATGGCAGATTCTGGTATGTTCTGAAATGATTTAAAAAATCTTGTGCTTTGTTCCCAGAACTGAGAAAAAAATGGCTCGAACCAAAACAGTAGTGTCCTCCAAGGTAAATGTATATCTGGGGATAAAACCGGTGGTGCAGCACTAATGGGATTGCGGGGAGCCGGCTCTCTGAGCGCCCGTGTGTTCATGCCCCACAGATCCATCCTCCGAGGTGCGTTCAGTGCGGCCAGTACCTGGATGACGCAGAGCTGAAATACGAGCAGCATCCCCCTGACGCGGTAAGTTCCGCTCTCTTCTCAGCCTTCTGTGTCCTCTCTTGTGTGCCTCTGCCTAACGGCCAACTGTCTCTCAGGTGGATGAGATACAGCTGTTGACGAATGAGAGGCTGTCCATCTTCGATGCCAACGAGTCTGGCTTTGAGAGTTACGAGGCTCTCCCCCAGCACAAGCTGACGTGCTTCAGGTAACTACTACGCTTCTGCCTTATTGCAGCGGGGCACTTCCCTGACGCCGCCTCCGTTCTTAACGTCCTAGTGAAGATCTTTAGCTCCTGTCCTGGAACACTTCTTAAGCTGCTAACACTCCATGGATAAAAGCCACAAAGCCGGTGGAAATATAGTGTTGTTTTTATTGTTAAAACTAGACATGTTAACTCATCAGTCAGTACACATCCTGAAGGTCACTCATTCATATAAGGGCCAGTGGCGTGCTGGATACTGCCCTAGCACCTCAGGTCCCCGCTTTCTTGGAAGCAGAAAAAAGTTATGCCGATCAGGGAGGAACAACCTTGACAAATGTAAAAGAGCACGGTGAGCAGAGAGAGTGGGTGGGAGAAAGAAGGTGTGTTTAGAGCGGAGGGAAAGTGACTTGAGCACAGACCTCGGTGGTGTAAGAGAACAAGCCGAGGGGGTAGCTAGGGAAAGACATTCCAGGTAGAGGGAACAGCAAGTACAGAGGCTCAGAGGAGGGTGTGTGCTGGTTGTGGAAGACCAGGCGATGAGGCTGGTGTGGCTGGGGCAGAGGGAGCAGGGGGCGAGTGTAGGGGCTGTAGACAGGGAGGAGGGTCCGCGGGTGGGGGGCTAGATCCTGCAGGGCTTTGCAGGCCGTGGCAATGACTTCGGAGCCTTCTCTGAGTGAAGGGCCATGGGGTCTGGACTGGAGCTTTGGCAAAGCTGAGCCGAGCTGTTGAGTGAGCAGACTCCTCACGCTCATCAGCACCTCCTTCAGTTCTGCTCCTCTCACTGGAGCTGTGCTTGTCTCAGGGACTTCACTGTTTCTCTCTCCTTTCAGGCCTGGCACATGTTCTCCCTCTCACTGAGAATGGTGGGCGGGTGCATTGCCTCAGGTGGAATCACTTCTGGGCAGCAAGTTGGGGGCTCATGCCCTGAGAGGAGACCCCAGCATGTTTCTTCACCGTTCTCCGCACTCCCTGTGGTTAGGGGTTGGAGGCGTCTCCCACTCTCTACAGTCAGGATCCTGATGCATACTGGGATGCCAGCCCAAACCTCTGCCTGATGGCATGAGTGAAACGTGCCGTGTTGACATAGCTGACGGTCACGCGCTCCTGCCTCCCTGTGGCGTCCTCAGGACAGAACCATGCGTGGGAGCCAGGTTGCTGTAGTCAGGAATGGTGGGGCTTGGGGTCTCTTGGCTTCCTCCTGAAGAACAGGGTCTGCTGTAGACTCATTCCTGTAGGGTGGGAAGGTGGCAGTAAGGACATTTTCCCAGGAATAACGTGCCTTTTAGCATCAGGCCATTGGTTTTTTAGGGACTGTTTACCTGTGTTACTTGGGCTGGAAGTGGCAGGTGGAAACAAGTCCATCCTGTGAACCTGCCTGCCTGCCTGCCCGCCTGGGACTTAGAACTTCTCCCTGGTGTCACCTCTACTGAGAGAGCCCACAGGCAGCCTGTTGGGCTGCGCACGGGATCCTCCTCTTCTGCATATCCTGCCCTCTCCTGATATGTGTCCAACTTTCATACTTGACTTCAAGTCCTGAGGGCAGGGCTGTGACCCATGTCTGTCTACCATGCCTGGCACATAGTAGGGGAGCTCAACTCAAGGTAGTCACATTTTCACGTTTAAAGAATTTTATCTTTGGCTGCCCCACGGCCTAGAGGTTATGTTTGGCACACTCTGCTTCAGCAACCTGGGTTTGGATCCCGGGCGCAGACCTACACCACTCACTGGCGGCCGTGCTGTGGCGGTGGCTCACATGCAGAATAGAGGAAGATTGGCAGAGGTTAGCTCAGGGCAAATCTTTCTCAGCAAAAAAAAAAATTTGTCAGATTCTAAGATGAGGATTTTTGGTTCCAAGGGCCTAGGCTGTGGGAGTGTGGTGGGGGTGCTCTCAGGAGAGATCCCTTGTGGCCCGTTTGGGGACTCTGAGGGATGGCATGGCACCTCTGGTATGAAAGGGTGATCCCTGAGGCCAGCATGAGCAGGTCTGTAAGCAGAACCCCTGATTCATGTTTTCTTAAGTTTGACATCCTACTAAATGAAAAATATCCTCCGGAATGTCAGAGTGTCTCTGAGATCACAGATGCCCTTAGACTTGACATTTAACCCCCACAGGGAGGCAGAATCCCTCCTTCCCATGTCCCTGATGTACCTCGCTTCTTATGCTGTTATAATATGCTTCATTTTATTTAATTGCTTTACTGAGGTGAAACTCACGTAACATAAAACTAACCATATATAACCATTGTGAAGAGGTAAATCCATAAAAACAGCAGATTGGCGGTTGCCAGGGTCGGGAGGGAATAGGGAGGGACTGCTTAATGGATATGAAGTCTTATTTGGGGCAATAAAAACATTTTGGAGCTAGATAGACGTGATGGGTGCACAATTCCATGAGTAGAATGTGTGTGAGACGCCAGTGTTGCTCCAATAGCAACATGTCAGAGGAGCATGCAGCCAGCTGCTCCCTTGTGAGAGTTCCCATCGTCCCCCTGTGGGTCTCACTGATCTTCTGGCTCTGCAGACACTCACACTCCTGGTGCACAGGTGGGAGAATCGGGTAGAAACCCCTTGGATGCGAGAAGGCTGTACTGTACTGATCTAGCGTTCTGGCAGCCAGACAGATAGCTGAGTCTAGGTGTTGCATAGTCCCATCACCTTGTGTCTGGGCTTCACTCTGTGCTTCGATCTTCACACTCTCTGTCGCCTGTTGCCTGTCTAGTGTGTACTGTAAACGTGGTCACCTGTGCCCCATCGACACTGGCCTCATCGAGAAGAACGTGGAACTCTTCTTTTCTGGTTCAGCAAAACCAATATATGATGATGACCCGTCTCTTGAAGGTAAGTGGAACTTTCCAGGTTATGTTTGGGACACATATTTTAAAGACAAAACAAAACTCACCTACAAAGGAATATTCAGCTGGAATTACTGCCTCTTAAAGTTAGGGCTTGAGAGTCTGCTGTGAACAGCTGTATGCATACTCACTGTGGTGGCGCTGAGGACTGCCGGCTCAGCTGATGAGAAATGTCAGGTCCCGTTGGCACTCGAAGCGCCACTTGGCCCTCCTGGGGTTTTGATGTGAGTCCTAGCTCTTAGTCCGTTTCCTTTCAGGATACTGTTTCTTTTCCTTCTCTTAGGGGGTGTTAACGGCAAAGATCTAGGCCCCATAAACGAATGGTGGATCACTGGCTTTGATGGAGGTGAAAAGGCTCTCATTGGCTTCAGCACCTGTAAGTATGGGGCCAGCTGTGGACTGTTCTGGGATCTGAACGGGGCCTTTGCTGCTGTCTACCCTGGGGCCTGGTTGGGCTCTGGTGGGAAGTCAAGCAGGCTCACGTGAATGCCACATGACCGTGTGGGAACCCTGTTGGGTTCGACTGGGGTGGCCTCTTGTGTTAGTTACAACCAGCCCTGGAACTGACCCTCCAGGTATATGAGCGGGTCATATTCTTGCAGCTTAAACCCAGACCGAATTCCAGAAACCAGAGACGAGCTAAATGAAAGCCACTTGGCTGGTCTCTGTTCTCCAGCTGGCTCAGGCCACTTCTGAATGAGCTAACTCTGACTGTACTTTGCATCTTTTTGGGTATAGGATGACTTCTAGACTGTTCTGTAAGCTTCCCTTTGGCCACTGTAGCTGCCATCAGGTTCAAACTGCTTTTTAAAACGTCTTCTGTTCACTGCAGCATTTGCTGAATACATCCTAATGGATCCCAACCCCGAGTACGCCCCGATGTTCAGCGTGATGCAGGAGAAGATCTACATAAGTAAAATCGTAGTCGAGTTCCTGCAGAAAAACCCTGACTCAACCTATGAAGACTTGATCAATAAGATTGAGGTGAGAGATTTAGTGTCTTTGTAATCTGGGGTTCACCTACTTACATGCAACATAGATGTTGCTAGAAAACTCATGTCTAGAATCAGCAGAAACCGTTCTTTAGTTTGATTAGAACAGTTTTGTTTCAGCCTAAGAGAAACTTCTGATGTTTTTCTTTTCTTCAAGACCACTGTTCCTCCTTCTGTGCTCAACCTGAACCGCTTCACAGAGGATTCTCTCCTTCGACACGCCCAGTTTGTGGTAGAACAAGTGGAGAGTTATGATGAGGCTGGGGACAGTGACGAGCAGCCCATCTTCCTGACCCCCTGCATGAGAGACCTCATCAAGTTGGCTGGGGTCACCCTGGGCAAAAGGTAAGGCCACAGTGGGAATAAAACGGAAGACCCGAGACCAGAGAAGGCGGTGTCCTGTGCCGTCTTCCCCAGCCCGCTAACACCACGGAAACTTCTCTCCCAGGCGAGCCGAAAGGCGGCAGACCATTAGGCATTCTGCCAAGGAGAAGGACAAAGGCCCCACCAAAGCCACCACTACCAAGCTGGTCTACCAGATCTTCGACACTTTCTTCGCAGAGCAAATCGAGAAGGACGACAGAGAAGACAAAGAGAACGCCTTCAAACGCCGGCGCTGCGGTGTCTGCGAGGTAACCTCCCCTGGGCTGGGCTCCCCATGTGATCTGAGGACCCCGCTTCTTTCTCCTTCTGACTTGAGACTCGCACTGCTCAGATGTGACGCCTAAGTTGGAAGCTGGGAGAAAGAGTTAGTGATGTTGGGGGAACTGCGTGCCTCACGGGACAAACAGATTGATAGGACAGCTGTCGAAAGAGGTGTGCTCGGGCGCTTTGCTGTGAATGCCATTGTCACTAACTAAGGAGCCTGGCCTCCTGGGTGGTGTTGGCTCTGCCTGCGTCTCACTGTGTCTCAAGGCCCCATGTGAGGGCAGAGGGAGCGACTGCCCCACAGAGGCGCTGCTTCCCCCTCGGACGGGGCATCCTGCCAGGAGCCTGCCTTGTCTCATGGTGTCACTTTCCCGGCAAAGCGGGGACTTTGTCCAACTTGGATTTGAGGCCTTAACAGACCTTTCTTGCTGTGAATCTTTTATATATATTTGCCTCACTCTGGAGGGATTAATCCCGCCAATCTGTGACCCAGAGATCAGCTGCATTTTGGTATCCATTGGCTTATTTTGGATGAAAACTTGAATGCAGAATTACAGCTGCCTTCAGAGCCGCCCCGTGTTCACAGTCCTTGGGCTTCACTTTCTCCTTTTGTCTTCAGTGGCAGCCTGAGCAAGAATTCACGTGTTGTCACCTTTGTGTTGGTTTTACTTTACTTGTTTTCATCTAGCACATGTGTACCCAAGCCTTTTTAATTTTTTAAAAATATATACATAACTGGTATCTTCTGCAGCTGTGTTAGGCATTGATCCAGGCAGGTCTAGTTAACTCACTTTGACTGTTCCATAGTCCTATGTCATATGAATATCCCAACTTACCCTCGATGACGGGCAGTTTTCTGTCATAAATCACGTGGCAGCATCTTTGAACGAGGCTTCTTGGGACTGTCTCTACTTAGAAGTAGAATTGCTGGGGTATGGGTTATAGACGTAACTTTGCTCTAGAACACTGCTCTCCAAAGTGGCGATGCCAGCTTATCCTTTGAGCAGTGTGTGTTCTCCATTCCCCACAGCTGTCCCAGCACCACATGTCAGCTTCTTAACCTTGGCCACTCTGGAGGATATGAGTGATATCCTGTTCCTATTCTCATTTCCCATATTTCTAATGAGGCTAAATGTACAATTTTTGAAAATTTTAATTCACCAAGAAACTAGTTACCAACTGTCACTAATGGCTGTTGGATTCACTTTTTTTAAAAATATTTTTTAGGTTTGTCAACAGCCTGAGTGTGGGAAGTGTAAAGCCTGTAAGGATATGGTTAAATTTGGTGGGAGCGGACGGAGCAAACAGGCTTGCCAAGAGAGGAGGTAGGTTTGGCTGGCTTGTCCTCGTGGCAGAGGAGGATGCCAGCTGATGGCACACGGGCTTCGTGTGGGACGGCGGGGTTGACATGTGCGGGGCAGGAGAGTTCCTCTGTCGGGCATTGTCACCAGGCCTGTTCCTCACACCTAACTAAAGCAGCCCCCGTTTGGATTTACTTGTAAAAGGGGCCTCGCTTATAACAAGTGACTTTCTAGGTGTCCCAATATGGCCATGAAGGAGGCGGATGACGATGAAGAAGTGGATGACAATATCCCAGAGATGCCGTCACCCAAAAAAATGCACCAGGGGAAGAAAAAGAAACAGAACAAGAATCGGATCACGTGGGTTGGAGACGCCGTCAAGGTAATCGTGGGGCCAGCTCTTGGTCGTCTTAGTGCCGCCCTCTGAGAAGCATGTTGTCTCCTGATGTCTCGCCGCCAGGCCCTTTCTTAAGCAGCCTGAGCCTGGAATCTGCTCCTTTGCCTGTGAGGAGCAGGGCTGGCTGAGAGGCCGAGGCCTGTGGCCAGGCACCAGAAACGCATTTTGGCTTGTGTGCCCAAGGACTTGGTTTCCCTAGCATCGCAAAATGGGTATTTGGCACAGTTCTAGGGGTGTCAGGCTCGTTCACCTTGGAAGCGTGTTGTGAAGCGAGCCGTCACGGCCCCTCTGGCCTGGGAGTGGGTGTTCTCGGGACACTAACAGGTTGCCTCCCAGCGGTTCCGCGGTCATCTGCCCGTCTAAGGCTCGGCTCCTTGACCAGAGCTGGAGAGGGAATGTCCTCTCAGCATTGTGTCCTTCATGTCCATGAGCCGTAGATATAGTGGGTTCATTCACCAAGCTTGGGGCCTCCCCCTGCCTGGTGCTACTGTAAGCCCGGACGTGGCTAAGCCCCTGCCCGGCGGCACTAATCTCCAGAGCAGGAGGACAGACGCATATTGTCAGACAGGTGGGGGGCTGGAAGGGGTCTGGGCCCCCGGAGGCTTCCCCGAGGAGGCGACCTCTGAGAAGAGCTGGCCGCGTGAAGATCTGGGGAAGAATTAGGGCAGAGGCCCTGAGGTGGGAGCCACCTTTCCTGGTGGGAGAAAAGGAAGGAGGCCTATGAGGTTGATGGGGGAGTCGGGGGTAGGATGTTCCTTAGGACCACAGTGAGGAGTTAGGACGGGTGCTGTTCAAATCGAATGCTGGAGTCCAATTTGCTGCTGACACGGAAGGGCAGAGCTGATGATAGAGGGGCGTGAGTGCCCTCTGCTGCAGGCTTCCAGCCAAGGGAGGCAGGTGTTCTCTGTAGTAGCCAGGCTGGTAGAGCTTGTGACTTCTTAGAAAATCATTATGAGTTATGCTTTTAAATCAAGTAATAGGAACACGTGGGTCAAGCCTAGCACGGACCTTCACACCCACCCTTGCCTGAAATTAAGCTCTCTTGTTTTCAGACTGATGGGAAGAAGAGTTACTACAAGAAGGTATGCATCGACTCGGAAACCCTGGAAGTGGGGGACTGTGTCTCTGTTATTCCAGATGATTCTTCAAAACCACTGTACTTAGCCAGGTTTGTATCCTTCCCTTTGCTTGACTTCAGCACACACTTTCTCTTGAACAAGTAGGAGATGCCTATTTTGTAAGAAGAGCACCAGCAGCTCCTTGCCCTAGACTAAAACCAAAAAAAAAAATGCAAGTTTCCCTAAGTAGACTTGGACCAGGTCTGCCAGTCAGGTTAGCAACTTGCATGTGCCGCCTCTTCCGACGCCAGGGTCACGGCCTTGTGGGAGGACAGCAGCAACGGGCAGATGTTCCACGCCCACTGGTTCTGCGCTGGCACAGACACGGTCCTCGGGGCCACGTCGGACCCCCTGGAGCTGTTCCTGGTCGATGAGTGTGAGGACATGCAGCTCTCGTACATTCACAGCAAAGTGCAGGTCGTCTATAAAGGCCCGTCGGAGAACTGGGCCTTGGAGGTGAGTGCCCGGCGCCCTCGGGTGTCCCTCCCTCACTGCCTGGGGTCATGGCTGACACAGCATCCTTGTCCCCAAAGGGAGGCATGGATCCCGAGGCCCTGCTGGCAGAGGATGACGGGAAGACCTACTTCTACCAGCTGTGGTACGATCAAGACTACGCGAGATTTGAGTCCCCTCCAAAAACTCAGCCCACGGAGGACAACAAGTATAAGTGAGTGCCGGGATGGGGCTCCGTGTTGTTCCCTCCTCGGGGCCCGTCTGAGGTGCTCGAGGACGCCACACTTACGTGACTCGCTTGAGCTCGTCACGTGCTCCCATCTGTTGGGTTTGTTCCCCCACAACCTCTGGTGGTTTTCCTCGATAAGCAGATACCCACCTGGCTTTGTTGTAGTTGCTGTGAGTGAGTGGACAGCCTGGGCGGGAGGTACCTTTATGAGAAGCTCTCATGTCCACGAGCAGGCTGTGTCTTTCTCTCTTAAGCCTTTTTGCGTGTTCCTTAGTGTTTGTCCCACAGATCTTGGTGAGTGTTTCGTTTCTTAGGTATTTTCTCTCATAAGTGAGATCTTTTGTTCCATTTGATTTTCTGGTGGGTGACTACCTTTAGGGAGGCCTGCTCTTTTTTTTCTAATGCTTAGCACCCCATGCCTTCCGTTCTTTTTTTTTTCTTTTTTTTTTTTTGTGAGGACAGTTAGGCCTGAGCTAACGTCCGTTGCCAATCCTTCTCTTTGCTGAGGAAGATTGGGCCTGGGCTAACATCCGTGCCCATCTTCCTCTACTTTATATGGGACGCCGCCACAGCATGGCTTGATAAGTGGTGTGTAGGTCCTCGCCTGGGATCTGAACTTGTGAACCCCAGACCACCAAAGCGGAGCACACAAACTTAACTACTATGCCACCAGGCCGGCCCCTGTGCCTTCCTTTCTAACCTCAGTACCTCCTTTGTCCTGACTAAAGTAGCGCTGGTGCCTCCAGAGCGTAAAAACGCTGACAGTGTAAGGCTGATGGGGCGGAGGCTGGGAGGGCTCACGTAGATGCTCCTGTGTTTCTCCGATCAGGCTGGTGCTGGCTTTTGACTTGATCTCCATGTTTAAGGCAGTCTCCAACTTTCTTTTAGAAAGGCTTAAGCAGGAATAGTGTTGAATTTTACCAAATACCTTTTCAGCCTTTATCGAGTTAATGATATGAGCCTCCTCTTCAATTTTGAGTTCTTGACTAAACCACTCTCTGCATTCTTGCTTGTGGTGTATCCTTAACCATATTCTAGATGATTGGTTAATGTCTTAGGGTTTTTATATCAAATACTCAAATGGGATTGGCTTATCATTTTCCTGTGGTGTGTGTCGTCTCTGGGCTTTGGTACCAAATCAGTGTTCTCAGAGTGTGAACATGACGTACAGGACGGCCAGTTTCTTCCCACGTCTGCACGTATTTTCTCTTGGTCACCAGTCTCTGGATTAAGCCAGCGGTTTCTGCCGCGGTCTCTACCAGCCGCCTGAGGCTTTTGTTTCTGTCCTTCACGCCTTCAGGTTCTGCGCCAGCTGTGCCCGTCTGGCTGAAATGAGGCAAAAGGAAATCCCCAGGGTCATGGACCAACTCGAGGACCTGGACGGCCGCGTCCTCTACAGCTCGGCCACCAAGGACGGCGTCCAGTATCGAGTGGGCGACGGTGTGTACCTCCTCCCTGAGGCCTTCACGTTCAAGTGAGTGTCCCCTCTGCCAGGTCAGGCCCGTGAGCGCTGGGCCAGGACAGGGTCGGCTTTGTGACATCCCCCACCTGCACCCCCGGTTCCAGCTGCTGCCTGAGCTGTCACATAGTGTCTGTGATCAGGCAACATCCAGCCGTCCAGTGTAGAGTGAAGGTGATTCGGTTGCACAAAGAAGCTGTAAAGGAAAGCTTCACGTGCCTTCTGTGAAGGAAGTTAGACAAGGAGACCCTGCTGGTTATGAGAGAGTGGCAGGGTCAGTGATGGGCCCCCGCCTAGCCGTGTGGCTTCAGGGCAGAGAGCACTTCCTCTCAGTTCCCGTCTGTCAGATGGGGAGAGGAGTATCTTGCCTGCCAGGTGCTAAGGATTAAGTGAGTTAAAAGTGCTTAACACAGTGTCTGGCTTAGAGTAAAGACTGAAGGAATGTGAATTGCAATTCCCATTTACCAGCAAGTATCAAGTGACTTCTTTGCATATCAGAGGCTTGAGGCTCTTCAGGGAAAAAGCAAAGCCACAGATATTTTCCACTCTTGATCCATTCTTTATTCGTTCTAAGAACTAGCGCGTGGTTAGAATTACAACCAACATTTTCCAAACTTCTCGATTTCCCGACTCGCAATTCCATTTTCCTAGAGTCCCGGTTGGAACCCAGTCCCCACCTCAGTTCAGTTACTGTGAATTATGAAACACGGAGGGCAGGGGTCCTTCCAGCCTCGCCCAGTCAGTGCACGTGGCCCCCCCAGCACCTGTCGTCCTTGGCATGGAAGGGGAGGACACCGTGCGGTGCTCTGTCCCGGCTGCTCCTGGCACAGTGGAAGCGTCAGCACAGATGTTCAGAGGCACCTGTCAGGGGGCCCGGGGGGGAACACGGCAGCTGCCTTCCTGAAGGGCAGTCTTCAAAGGATGCAGCCCTCGGTCTTGGCAGGCAGATCCGATGACCAGCTTTACCAAAGTGGTCGGGCCAAATTCGGCTTGCCCAGACCTCGAGTCTCCCCCTGCTTCTGCAGCATCGCCTCTAGTCGGCGCCTTGTCAGGAGAGCATAGGTTATAACGTGGTAACAACCCCAAAACTGCCGACGTTTCCTTCTTGCCTGCGCTGTGTCCATCATGGTTCTGCAGGGAACTTGGCCTGTTGCGTCACTCAGGGACCTGGGCTGACAGAGCCGCCACCTTCTCAGAAGTTGCCAGCCTGAGCCAAGGGCAGGCACACTGGAGGCCCTCCTGGCGGCTAAATGCTCCCGCCCAGGAGTGCTTGTGGGTCACTTCTGCTCACACTCAGTGAGCGGAACAAGTCGTGTGCCAAGAAGTGTGGTCCTGCCATGCAGCCGGGAGCGGGGAGCTGGGATATTGGAACAGAACAGCATTAGCAACTACCCTAGCCAGCGGTGCGCAGACAGAGAATGCTCGTTCTCAGCTATGGATGGGATTTAATCTGTCTCTCCCTCTTTTCTAGGGGCGCTTAGCTGCAATAGTTTATAAGGTGTTTGAATTTCAATGGTTATCGTTCGTAGCCAGTCGTGCTGAACTAACTTCCTTTTAAGGTTTACTGTTCAGTTATGCGGAACGCGTGCCTCTCTGCAGCATCAAGCTCTCCAGTCCTGTGAAACGCCCCCGGAAGGAGCCCGTGGATGAAGATCTGTATCCGGAACACTACCGGAAATACTCCGATTACATCAAGGGCAGCAACCTGGATGCCCCTGAGCCCTACCGAATTGGCCGCATCAAAGAGATCTTCTGCATCAAGAAGAGCAACGGCAGGCCCAACGAGACAGACATCAAGATCAAACTCAACAAGTTCTACAGGTCAGTGAGGGCCTCTGCTCTTCCGGGAGGCGGCGGACTCTTCTAGAAGGCTCTGCCTGGAACGGGGTTGTAACACAGCGCAGGTGTTTTAAGAGGTAGAGGTGGCTGTCTTTCCAGGTGTTCCTGGTTATCTGATGGATGCTGGCAACGACTATAATTTTATTTTGTGGCCTTACTTTTAGGCCTTTACTTTAAAGCTGCAGAGTTTTCTCTCTGAAAGAAATCCTCAAGCGGAAGTCCAAGATGTGACGAAGGCAGGGGGGAACGTCTGGGCTCTGCCTGAGGCCCCTAGAGAACCTCGGGCCCCCGTCCCCTGTGCCCTCTCTGTCCCGTGCTTCCCGGGCCCGCCCGGCTGCTTCTGGACGGGAGGCCGGCAGCCGCTGTTGCTGACACAGGGCCGTCTTCCTGGGCTCTAGTCGGGGGCACAAAGAGCAAGCAAACCGTTCACTGAGTTTGTTGCAAAGAATCCCACTCGGTTTGTAGCGTTTAGTGTCGGCTAAGGGGAATGGTGATCAAGCGACTTGACTCGGGGGCCGTGGTCCTTACCCAGTGATTCTCTGAGCACCCCTGGGAACGTGGTGCCGCTGAATTCATTGTCAGCTCACGGCAAGGGAGAATTCTTAAAGACTTCCGCTCACAGGCCGGAGAACACGCACAAGTCCACCCCGGCCAGCTACCACGCCGACATCAACCTGCTTTACTGGAGCGACGAGGAGGCCGTGGTGGACTTCAAGGCCGTGCAGGGCCGCTGCACCGTGGAGTACGGGGAGGACCTGCCCGGGGGCCTCCAGGACTTCTCCGCCGGCGGCCCGGACCGCTTCTACTTCCTCGAGGTGGGCCTGCGCTGACTGGAGAGAGGGACTCACTCGGGTCAAACCTGCAGCCCCCTAGAAAGTGGTGTCCGGAGTACAAATCTGTGACGTTTAAGGTGTTCTGGGACACTTTCAGCTTTTAAAGTGCAGTAGAAAATGTAACCTGTGAATGTCCTAATGCAACTAAAATTTATTTGAAGACACTCGGGTGGCCTCTGCTAGCCTGACCAGTGCCTTAGTGTGAGTTAGAGAAAGGTGCCCCTCTCCCTTCAGCCAAGCGTCTGCATCCACGGCCACACAACTAGGCAGCTGGCTGAGAGAGGGTCCAGGAGTCTGATTAAGCTCATCACTTACAGTGTCTGAGCATGGCCTTTTTGTGTGTGTGTGTGAGGAAGATCAGCCCTGAGCTAACATCCATGCCAATCCTCCTCTTTTTACTGAGGAAGACTGGCCCTGGGCTAACATCCGTGCCCATCTTCCTCTACTTTTATGTGGGACACCGCCACAGCATGGCCTGACAAGCAGTGCATCGGTGCGTGCCCAGGATCCAAACCCGGGCCACCAGCAGCGGAGCGTGCGCACTGAACCACTACGCCACGGGGCTGGTCCCCCTTCTTCACTTTCTGTGTTACATCATCTTAAAATGCTACATGGCCTGTGTTTCCTCAGGCTCCAGTGTGGAAGGCCTCATCAGACCATAGTCCCTGCTGTAACACTTTTGCCTATTTTTAGAATGAGTAGGCCAAGCTCTTATAATAGCAGGAATTTCAGTGTTGGCCACATGAAGTATTTGTATTAATAGAACTTTTTCATTTTCAGTGTAATGAAATCAAAGTACTCTTACTGGTGGCTAATTGCTGAGGGCAGTATTCAGGGAGACATTAAGTGGCTCTTGGGCCGGCTCCGTGGCTTAGCGGTTAAGTGCGCGCGCTCTGATGCTGGCGGCCCGGGTTCGGATCCTGGGCGCGCCCCGAGGCACCACTTCTCCGTCCAACATGAGGCCTAGTCCCACGTACAGCAACTAGAAGGATGTGAACCTATGACATACAACTATCTACTGGGGCTTTGGGGGGAAAAACTGAATAAATAAAATCTTTAAAAAAAAAAAAAAAAAAGTGGCTCTTTATCAGAATAACTTCCTAACTCCTCTTCATTAGGGGACCAGTGCGTTTCTCCGCCAGACTCTTGTGGTTCTTTCCTTCTAGGCCTATAATGCCAAGACCAAGAGCTTTGAAGACCCTCCCAACCACGCCCGGAGCCCTGGGAATAAAGGAAAAGGGAAGGGAAAAGGTACGCAGACTTCCCTAGGGGTCTCCCAAGGCCTGTTGTGAATCGCTTTGTGTAAAAGAACACGGGCTCTCTGCTCTGAACTCAAAACGAGGCCGCCTTTGAATCAATAACGTGTTTGAGGAGAGCAGGTTAGGACTCTGATTTGAGTTCACTTGCGGCCTGTCTCCTCCAGGGAAAGGCAAGGCGAAGTCTCAAGCCTGTGAGCCAAGCGAAGCAGAGGTGGAAATAAAACTGCCTAAACTGCGGACCCTGGACGTGTTTTCCGGCTGCGGGGGGCTGTCGGAAGGGTTCCATCAAGCAGGTAAGCGCTGGGAGGTTTCTCTGCACGACTAGGAAAACTGGACAGGGTGGTTCTGCCCGGAAGCCCTCTGTCGTCACAGTTCTGACTCGAGTCTCGCTCAAGGGACTTTGAACACGTCTTTGTCCTTGTGTTCCCAGGCATCTCCGAAACCCTGTGGGCCATTGAGATGTGGGACCCAGCGGCCCAGGCGTTCCGGCTGAACAACCCCGGGTCCACGGTGTTCACGGAGGACTGCAACGTCCTGCTGAAGCTCGTCATGGCCGGGGAGGTGACCAACTCGCGTGGCCAGAAGCTGCCCCAGAAGGGAGACGTGGAGATGCTGTGTGGCGGGCCGCCCTGCCAGGGCTTCAGCGGTATGAACCGCTTCAACTCTCGTACCTACTCCAAGTTCAAGAACTCCCTGGTGGTCTCCTTCCTCAGGTAAACGGAATGGAAGCCCCTCTGTTCAGTGCGGCCCTGGATGACGGGACAGCCGGCCCAGGGCTGCGACGCCAGATGTGCTGGGGCGAGCCGCCACTGCCTAGCTGCCCCACTGCTGAGGTCTGTGTGCCCAGGCCGGATGAGGGCCTCTGCCTACAGGAAGTGCCCGGCTCGCCGGGGGGGAGACTGAGAGCTGGGAGGTGCAGCTTCCACAGCCAACGTCGTGCATTTGGGAGAGGCTTCTGGTAGAGCGGTCTTCCTCCTCTTGGGGTCTGGGGGTGACTCATGGTCTCTCCTGCCTCCTGCAGCTACTGTGACTACTACCGGCCACGGTACTTCCTCCTGGAGAACGTGCGGAACTTCGTCTCCTTCAAGCGCTCCATGGTCCTGAAGCTCACCCTCCGCTGCCTCGTCCGCATGGGCTACCAGTGCACCTTTGGCGTGTTGCAGGTGGGCCCTCCCGGGGAGGGGCGGGGTGGGCAGACTTCCCAACCGGAAATAGGGTTGACAGGGACAGGCCGTTAGTGTGGAACCTACAGTCCTGACGAGGGGGGAGGTGGCGCTGGGGCCTGCCCCCACCACCGTGAAGCTCAGAGCCGGGGCCCCGGCAGGTCAGCCTCATAGTGTCTCCCTGAGAGCTGTGTCGTCACCTGCCTGAGGAGGGGCCGCATGCTCGGGGCTCTGCTGCGTTGGTCACAGCTCGTTTTCCCGATAGGGAAGGTGGTGCCAGCTCGGGGGCTCTCGGTGGCAGCTAGATCTCCACGGAGGGGTGGGTGAGGCCAGACTGGAGAACGATACAAAGACCAGACTGTTACATAGGCTAAAAAAATGTCCTCTGGTTGATGTACGTATGTAGAAACACGTAGAGGAGGTGGAAGGTCATGCTCCGGGGGTTGTCAGTGGCTGTGTCGGCAGGACAGGAATTTGGGGTGATCAGAGGGGACTAGGCCTTATCTGGAAAGCAGTCACTCTATATGTACCTGTTCAGTAACTGTTGGTATAATAAAAAATGAAGCAGTTACCCGAATGGGAGGGATGGTTGGCTAGAATGCAGTGAGTGAGTGTCTACATGAGTGAGCACTGGGCCGCCTGGCCCCCCAGTTCAGCCTCCACGGTGGCTCGGGCTCGCTGGGCAAGCCTCATGGGAGGCGTGTTCTCTGTCCCGTGTGACCACAGGCTCCAGATAGGCGGCAGAGCTCCTGGTGTCTCCTGGCTGCTCTGCTCCCTGAGTGCTGAGACCGCGGGTCCCTCGCAGTGCTCTCCACAGAGCCAGCAGGAGTCGCCAGCAGGCTCCACTCCCGTCTTCTCCAGTGGCCGCCACGGAGCATCCTGTGTTCTTTTCATCTGGTCCCACTTCCTCTTGTTAGCAGCAAACCTGCTGGGTTAATTAGGGGTCCTCCAGGGGAGCTTGGCACCAGCCAGCCGCTCCAGAAAGTTGAGTGCTGCTGACTCCGGCCCTCAGTCCAGCCATTCGGAGGTGCCCGCTGACCGTGTGTGTGTGGCCCTCCCATGTGCAGGCTGGACAGTACGGCGTGGCGCAGACGCGGAGGCGTGCCATCATCCTGGCCGCGGCCCCCGGAGAGATGCTCCCCCTGTTCCCAGAGCCCCTGCACGTGTTTGCGCCCCGGGCCTGCCAGCTGAGCGTCGTGGTGGACGACAAGAAGTTTGTCAGCAACATAACCAGGTGGGAGCCCCTGCTGGCCCCACTGTGTCACGGTGCTTGTGAGCGTCACCCTGGGAGGGTTGGTGTGGGCGGGCCTTTCAGGAGCCTGAGCGGAGGAGAAAGCGCTAGGTGGCATGGTGTCTAGCCTGCCACACGGGCACTGCCCCCTCTGCTCTCGAGTTCTGAATCCGAGTGAGCCCTGCGTGCAGGGCAGTGGTCAGATGCCGGGCTGCAGTCACAAGCAAAGCCCACGCTCCAGCCTGTCCCCTTCATAGACGGGTCTAAGCAGAATGCTGCCCGTGTGACCGCAGGCGGCCCTTTGACCTCTGAGCGGGGTTGTCCCCTGGACAGGGCACTGCCGGCATTCGGGGGATGGCTGTGACACGAGGGAGTCTGGCTGCGGGAGGTGTCGACTGTCGGCTGTGCCCTGCAGGTTGAGCTCAGGCCCGTTCCGCACCATCACGGTCCGAGACACGATGTCAGACCTCCCGGAGGTCCGGAACGGAGCGTCGGCACTGGAGATCTCCTACAACGGGGAGCCGCAGTCCTGGTTCCAGCGGCAGCTCCGGGGCTCGCAGTACCAGCCCATCCTCAGGGACCACATCTGTAAGGTAGCGTCGCCCCGGCAGCTGCTGCCTCCCTCCAGCCGCCGGCCTCACGGGAACCGACTTGTGGTCGGAGCCCAGCCAGCGCTTGGGTGGGAAGCAGGATCTGATCCCAGCCCTCTTCCGGCTCCTTCTCTGCTCTTGGCCCCTGACCCGAGCCACGGCCATCCCGACTGGCTCCCAGCCTCGCCTCCTCACCGCCCCCTGCTTCTCTTCTTGCCCTCGACCGCCCGTGCCCCCTGCAGCAGCGTGCAGTCATGTGAAGCGTCAGAGCTTCTGCTGTCCTTAGAATACGCCCGAATGGTGTGTCTGGCCGCTGGCCCTCTGCACGCGCCCCAGGTCTCTCCATAGCCTCATCCTGCGGGGCTCAGCTCGGGTGTCACCTCCTCACGCTTGCCCTAAACTGCCCCCCCCCCCGCATTATTCCATGTCCCTGCTGTGTCGTCTGCATGGGACACCTGTGGCCCCCGAGTCGTTGATCACGGTTACTGTTTGTCTCCCCTGTGCGGGTTCCTGGTCGCCGTGGTGTTCCCAGTGCCCAGAACAGTGGTGCCCAGCCCGCCGTGGAGGCTCAGGTGCCCCCTGAGCTAGGTGACAGTCGTGGCATGCTGCTCTTTCAGGACATGAGCGCGCTGGTGGCCGCCCGCATGCGGCACATCCCTCTGGCCCCGGGCTCGGACTGGCGCGACCTGCCCAACATCGAGGTGCGGCTCTCCGACGGCACCATGGCCCGGAAGCTGCGTTACACCTACCACGACAGGAAGAACGGCTGCAGCAGCACTGGGGCCCTCCGCGGGGTCTGCTCCTGCGTGGAAGGTGGGCCCCTCGGGCCCTGGGTGGCTCCCCTCAAGTCTGGCATGAAGCCCCCCACCCTCTTAGATTCTGATCCCCCCTCAGCGCTCCAGTGGGCTCGGAGGAAGGAGTGCTGATTCCTGGGGTTTCCCAGCAGGAGATAGCAGGGGCTGCTGCTCACTAACCCAGCGGCCCTGGCAGGGCACAGACACTCCAGGCCTGGGGGTCCCTGCTGTCGAGAGCTGCCGAGAGCATTAAGTGGCAGAAACTTTGCCTGAGGAACGGGGGCTGTCGGCTGCCCCGTCCCTCCTGTCCCGCGGCCTCACCGCAGCCCTCTCTTCCAGCGGGCAAAGCCTGCGACTCTGCGGCCAGACAGTTCAACACCCTCATCCCCTGGTGCCTGCCCCACACCGGGAACAGGCACAACCACTGGGCCGGCCTCTACGGGCGGCTTGAGTGGGACGGCTTCTTCAGCACGACCGTCACCAACCCCGAGCCCATGGGCAAGCAGGTAGGGCCGGGGCCCAGGGGCAGGCCTGGGAGGGGCGGAGGCACTGGCGTAGCGGGTAGGGCGGCCTTTCGGCAGCTGGCACTGTGCGCCTCTGCCGCCTCGGTGCCAGTGGAGACGGCGCATGCGTCAAGGCCCAAGGCTGGATCTGTCCAGGGCCTGTCCTGTGCCCTTGCCCACCGCGCCTCTCGCCCCCAGGGCCGCGTGCTCCACCCCGAGCAGCACCGCGTGGTGAGCGTGCGGGAGTGCGCCCGCTCCCAGGGCTTCCCCGACACCTACCGGCTCTTCGGCAACATCCTGGACAAGCACCGGCAGGTCGGTGGAGCGGAGCCGGGCCCGGGGGCCTCCCACACGGAGGACCTGTCTGACCGGGAGCAGGGGGGTCGGGGGGGCGCGACGTGCACGGCCACCTCCGAGGGGATGCGGAGCGCCCAGAGCTTGTCGGCTGACGAGCCTCCGCACTCCCGGGAGGGGCCGCCGGGAATAGGGCACCCCGTCCCTGGGGGCAGGCGAGTCACGGAGCACGTCAGTTGCCCTTTACACTCTGTGGCAGATTTAGCCCAAAAGAAAGTTCCATTGCATGGAACCTCGGTGAAGGAGCAGACTCAGTTCACTGCTGCTGAGGGTTGAAGTGAACCCACAGTTCCTAACTGGTCTCAGCGTGTGGGGTTGGCCGTTTCTTCATGTATTTCCATCGAAGTAATGCACATAGTGGCTTACAAACCCAGCGGGGCCTGGGGCCATAGCGACCACCTCCCACCTTCCCCCAGTGCTGTTGTCTGGGAGTGGAGCATGCTGACTCCGTTTCTGGATCTGAGTTTGTCTGAAGGCCGCCTTCTCTGGGGGTGGTTCTTGCACGTTGGTGTTTGGGGTGGGAGGATGGGCCGATGAGAGGGTCCGGGAGCTGTGGGGAGGGAAGGGCTATGGGGGCCAGTGTGAGCATGAGGTTGGGGGCCCAGTGCCCCTGTGGTTCTCAGTGGAGGCTGGTGCTGATCCCAGCCGTGCCAGACCGGGCATCGCCCTCCTTCCCCCCTCAGGTGGGTAACGCCGTGCCGCCGCCCCTGGCCAAAGCCATCGGCTTGGAGATCAAGCGCTGTATGTTGGCCAAAGCTCGAGAGAGCGCCTCAGGTATGGCAGGCGTGGAGGGGGCAGAGCAGCCGGGTCCCACTCTGGGCTCTGGGACTCGGGCGGGTGAGTCACACCCTCCCTGGTGGCCTCACTTCTCTCCAGGGGTAGCTGTGAGATTGAGGGGGTCGCACACTTCGAGTGCTTAGGACAGGAGCCCAGCACACAGCTGCCCAGTGAGCCTGGCTGGGCCTGCCTCGGACACTAACCCAGGCAGTCTAGAAACCTCCAGGGACCACCTTTCAGCAGTGCTCAGTCCCCCTGAATGTGCATTCAGAGTTGCTACACATTCTTATCTGGTCGGCCAGTAACACCGACCCTGGGCGTTAACGTACAGTCACGAGTCACTTAACGATGGGACACGTTCTGAGAACTGCATTGTTAGGTGAGGTCGTCGCTGTGTGAACATCACAGAGTGCCCTTACGCAGACCTAGATGGTACAGCCTCCTACACACTAGGCCGTGTGGTACTAATCTACGGGACCACCGTCGTATATGCGGTCCATTGTTGACCGGAACGTCGTTTTGCGGCGCAGGACTGTTGTTCCTGACGACGTACTTGTGATCCGTGCCTGTTGCTGAGTGTAGCACTGTGTCTGTTCGTGGCAGTGACTTGCCCTCTTATTTGTCTTCAGTTAAAATCGAGGAGAAAACCACTGAGGACTAGTCCCGCCCTCCTGTCGCCCTCGATGCTGGCACCAGGGACCCCCAACGTGCACTGATGTTGTTGTGTTTTAACATGTTGATCTGTCGGTTCACATGTGTCGTACGCGGTGTTGTGGCCTTGGCTGACACGAAGCTGTTCTGTGAGGTTTGCTTATCAACTAATGACGTAGCGATGGAACTGTGCCGTACTTTGTGCATTCTGGATTTTAAAAGTTTTTTATTATGCATTATATCAAATCGACCACTGTATGAGTGGAATTTATGTAGTTTTTATATGTTGTAATATTTCTTCAAATAAATCTCTCCTATAAATCACTGTGGGTGGTGACTCGTGATTACGAGGGGCTGCTGGATGAGAAGCGGCTCCTCAGTGCTGAAGGTGACCCCATGGAGGCATTTGTCTGAAGATAGGTCACTCCACTCCATGTATGTGTTTAGGGTTGGGGGTTAACTTGTGTGACTCAGTTCTGGCCAACAAGATGCAAGTGAAACTTGCTAGTGTGGCTTCCAGGAAAGCCTCTGAAAGGAAGAGTCTTAGTTGGCCTTCCCCATGTCCTTGTAGCCCTTTTTCGCTCTAGAGTGGGCCTGATGTCGGGCGCTGCAGCAGCCGTCTTGTGACCATGAGGACAGAAGCCCCGTGCAGTGGATGGTGAAGCAAGAGGAGAGGAGCCACTCGGAGCCCTGGCCTGCCGCGCCAGACAGATCCCTGTTTGCTTAAGAATCTGTTGGGTGGGCTTTCTGTGCTTTTAGCCTAATTGAATCCCACTGAATTCTAAGACCAACAGACCTTTTTGGTTTGTCTTCGGGAAAGGATTGCTATAAAATGCCAACAAAGCCGAGGTAGACAAAAAAGGGTCAGTCACCAGTGCACACGCCCCAGAGGGCCGCCGTCAGGATGCGAACACCCGCTTCATCACCTCTACAAGTCCTTAAGGAAATGGCCCACTTGGTGGCACTTCGGCTGTGACTTTCCGCTCGGCGAGTCACAGAGGTCTTAGTCGTAAAATGAGAGGGCTAAATATAATTCAGATGCGGCATTTGCTAGGTTCCCTCTTTCTATTATAGGTGTTTCCCTCTTTCTATTATAAACAGCACTGCACTGAACATCCTGGTACGTTCTCTTCCATCACCTCCTTAGAGAGGCTCCCTGGATCATGGAGTACGAGTGTTTTCACTTTCAGAACATGCGGCTGACACCCCCTGGAGAGGTTTTCACGCTGCTCCCACGAACACAGCGAACTTCCTATTTGCCTGTCCTGGCTGTCGCTTCCTTAATAGTTGACACACTATTCTGTGTCAACAGAATAGTGAGTGTCTTGTTAGCCTTTTTGAGGAGGGACTCAGCACTTGCACATGTGTGGTGGCTACTGGAATTTCTTTTTTAACTTCTGTTTTATTTATTTATTTTTGTGAGAAAGATCAGCCCTGAGCTAACATCCATGCTAATCCTCCTCTTTTGGCTGAGGAAGACCGGCTCTGAGCTAACATCTATTGCCAGTCATCCTCCTTTTCTTCCCCCAAAGCCCCAGTAGATAGTGGTATGTTATAGTTGCACATCCTTCTAGTTGCTGTATGTGGGACGTGGCCTCAGCATGGCCGGAGAAGCGGTGCGTCGGTGCGCGCCCGGGATCTGAACCCGGGCTGCCAGCAGCGGAGCGCGAGCACTCAACCGCTAAGCCACGGGGCCAGCCCTGGAATTTTTTTTTTCCTCTGTGGTGACGCATGACTCTGTCCCCGCCAGGAGCTGTCTGGGTGTTAGATTTTTGCTCTTGCGTTACTTTCGTCTTGACTCATTGTTTCTTTGCCATACAGAGATTTCATTTTTAAGGGTGAGATTTATTTGTCTGCTTCTTTTTCGGAGCCTGTTTTAAAAGGCCTTCCCAGCAGCCGGCCCAGTGGCGTAGTGGTTAAGTTTACACGCTCTGCTGCGGCGGCCTGGGGTTTGCGGGTTTGGATCCCCAGTGCGGACTGACGCACCACTGGTCAAGCCATGCTGTGGTGGCGTCCCATATAAAGTGGAGGAAGATGGGCACGGATGTTAGCCCAGGGCCAGTCTTCCTCAGCAAAAAGAGGAGGATTGGCATGGATGTTAGCTCAGAGCTGATCTTCCTCACAAAAAAAAAAAAAAAAAAGCCTTCCCTGCTCCCAGATCATAAACTTGTATTTCCTTCCATGTTTCTATGGCATCTCATTCTAACACGTGCATCACGTTTGTAAGGACAAAAATAGACATCTCAGCTCATTTTTTGAGCAGGTAACAAATGCACATGGTAAAGTTCCCCCATCAGAGATTTTATTTTTTAGACATACTTTCTGCTTGTTTTGTTTCTAATCTAAAAACTCATTAACAAGCACATTGTGGGGGCCAGCCCGGTGGCGTAGTGGTCAAGTTCGCACACTCCGCTTTGGCAGCCCGGGGTTCGCAGGTTTGGATCCTGGGCGCGGACCTACCCACTGCTCTGCTCATCACGCCATGCTGTGGCAGCGTCCCACGTATAAAGTAGAGGAAGATGGGCACGGATGTTAGCTCAGGGCCAGTCTTCCTCAGCAAAAAAAAAAAAAAAAGTACATTGTGAGCATAATGAGAAGTATGCTAAGTCTTTTCCACATTCCCAGGCACCTTGACAAAGATAACTGAATCCTCGTCTCCTTCCAGAGTCATCTCTGCTCGAGTACAAGTGCATGCGTCTGTCTTTTCTCTGCTACAAATGGTGGCACCGATTATAAAACTGCCTTGTGCCTTGAAAGTTGTTCTAAGAATGTCTCTGCTTCCCTTATTTTATTTTGTTAAGGTCTAATACGAAATGCTCAAGTCCTGAATGTACAGCTCGAATTTTGGTAAATGCATACAACCCTGTAACCCACATCTTATCAAGCTGTAGAAGGCTTCCATCACCCCAGAAGTCACCTCGTGTCCCTTCCGCCACCAACAGGCAACCTCGGGCCCAAGTCCGTCCCCATAGATGACTTTCACCTGTTCGGTTCAGTCTGGGCTCTTGGGTCTGGCTCCTCTCACCCAGCATCATGTTTCTGGATTCATCCGTGTTGCTAATGTGTATCAGTAATTTGCCTCTTTTTATTACTAAGTAGAAGGAACGCCCTTATTTTAAACTATCATTCTGTGTTTGGAAACAGCTGTCCCTCAATGAGAAGCTGGTCAAATTGTGGTACGTACATTTACACACGTGTGTGAATCCACATCCACGATGCATTTCTAGTAGTCGAGTGGCTGGGTCATGACTTTTAGAATTGGCACATCCTCTAAAAATCGAGTGGATATTTTTATAGTGATTGCATTAAATTTACAGGCTTCTGGGGAAAATGGATCCCAATGACAACCTTTCTAAGAACAGAGTCAGTCCTTCTGGTTATTCAGATATTTTATTTCCCACATAGCATTTTAAAGTTTTCATATAGATATTGTAAATTTCTTAATTTGATTCCTATGTATTTAATCCTTTCATGACTGATATAAATGGGATGTTATTTTCCAAAGTGTTTGTTTGCCTACAGAAAGATTGACTTGTTTATTATTGATTTTGCATATAGATTATGTATTTCTTTCTAACCTTGCCGACTTACTGAATTCCCTTACTTTTGTTTTTTTTTTGTGTGTGTGTGTGAGGAAGATCAGCCCTGAGCTAACATCTGTGCTAATCCTCCTCTTTTTGCTGAGGAAGACTGGCCCTGGGCTAACATCTATTGCCAATCCTCCTCCTTTTGTTTTTCCCCCAAAGCCCCAGTAGATAGTTGTATGTCATAGTTGCACATCCTTCTAGTTGCTGTATGTGGGACGCGGCCTCAGCATGGCCGGAGAAGCGGTGTGTCGGTGCGCGCCCAGGATCCGAACTCGGGCCGCCAGCAGCGGAGCGCGCGCACTTAACCACTAAGCCACGGGGCCGGCCCTGAATTCCCTTATTTTTGTGATACTTTTCCAGTTGAGGTCTTTGTTTCAGGTATACCATATGCTACCGAGAACAATTTGAGGATTCGCTTCGGTGTAAGAAGTGGAAACCATGTCTGTTTTCTGCTGTGGCTCAGCACTGGGTCTCAACTGGGCGGCGGGCTGTCCCTCAGGGGTGAAATTCCAGGGGTGGCCCACGTGAGTGGCGGCCCGGGTGAGGTACATGTGCCCGCCACCCACCTCCGGGCACCCCGAGAGCACTGGCCCGGGCCAGGCCTGTGGACAGAGCGGGGCGCTGCTGTGCTGGGTTGGGGCAGAAGGAGGGGCCACGGCTTCCAGTAGTTCTGCCTCCCTGGCCGGCTGGCAGTGAACCTTCTCCCTGCCATCAGGGCTGAAGTTCAGCCTTTTCCTGGGAGGAAAACCTGGAGGAATTGGAGCATTGACAAGAATAGTGATTGCAGTAGATTGACACACATTTCATCAAGGAAAATCCACTGAAGGTCAAAACCGCGTGACCATCTGAGGTGACTATTCAGTGCCACACTTTGAAATCATTAAGGAGGACGTGTGGAAATCAAGCAGGAACTGCATCTAGTGAGAACCCGGTGTGGCCTGCTGATGGGCAGAAAGCTCTGTTTCCCGGAGATTAGCAGTGAGCTGTAGGCCAAACACTAGGCTGAGATAATTTTGTGACTCCTCATGATCTAATTTATTCAGTCAAGAATCATGGCTGGGTTCTGTTGTTTTAACTTTTAAACCATTTTAACCATTTTTAAGTGTACAATTCAGTGGCATTCGGTACATCCACTGTTGTACAACCATCACCACTATCGATTTCCAGAACATTTTCATCATCCCAAACAGAAACTCTATACCCATTAAATAATAACTCCTCATTCTCCCTGTGCCCCCAGCCTCTGGTCACCTCTACTCCTCTTTTTGCCTGTTCTAGGCACCTCATATAAGTGGAATTATATAACGTTTGTCCTTTTGTGACTGGTTTATTTCACTTAGCATAATGTCCGCCAAGTTTGTCCCTGTTGTGGCTGTGTCAGAATTTCCTTCCTTTTTAAGGCGGAATAATATTACATTGTGCAGATACATCGCATTTTGTTTTTCCATTCATCCATCAAGGGACATTTGGGTTGTTTCCACCTTCTGGCCATTGTGAATAATGCTGGAATGAACAGTCATGGCCAAGTGTTTCTTTGAGTCCCTGCTTTCAATTCTCTTGAATATATACCTGGAGGTGGAATGCTGGATCACATGGTAATTCTATGTTCAACTTTTTTTTTTTTTTTTTTGGTGTTTTTTATTGCCCCTAAGACCAGCCCTGAGCTAATCTTCAATGCCAATCCTCCTTCTTTTTTTTTTTTTTTTTGGTGAGGAAGATTGGCCCTGAGGTAACATT